TTGCGTATGCTGTGACGCAATCATTTTCAGACTGAAAATAGTCAGAAGGAGAGAAAAAGAAGAAGAAGAAGAAAAAAAAAGAAAAAGAAATTAACTAACTACCTGTGAGTTGGTGTAGAGATAGATCTATATNCAACACAAGAGTTCACTCGTAATAAAGGAAAAGATGGAATACAGGGAAGAAGTGGGTGGGATTTGAGAAAGTAGTCCATTATCTATTTTTCTGCTTCATTCAACAGCGTTCGATACATATGCGTATAAAAATGCGAATGGGCGCGCTCACTAAGCTTTCTTTTCCCTTCTTTGAGCACTTAGATTGCAAGAACAAAAGAAGATGAGATGATTCTATTTCGGGTTTAGGTAAATATCTGCTTGTCAAGGAAGGCAGAGAGTTCTTTTTTCAACTAAATCAACTACAAATATATGCTCAATATGCTCTCATGCTTACAGATTCCATTAGCCTTGACCGGAACATATACACAGAACTGGTTAGATTCGTTAATCATCATAATATTTATTCGAATATGAAAAAAACATTTCTTTCTCTCGGAATGGATACACGCAGTACAGAGAAAGAAGAAGAAAAAGCGCATTGACATACGAAACGAATCAAAACTATTGACATATTTTTCCTTGATAATTTGTTTTGAAAGGCAATTCTCGAGAGACATATCTTGAATTAATCATCATACTTGAAGTTTCATCTTATTTCAAACGAATATCCATTGAGCACTGTCAATCAGTGATCAACGCCGGCAGATGTGTCGCTGTTCGATATCGAAAATTTGAAGAATTGTATGATCCTTCGTTGTAAACAGGGAAATGAGAAAAGGAAATAGTCTGGTTCTGGTTGCTATTTTCCGTTGGATTGAATCAATGTTTTGCTGTATGATTAAAAGCACATCCTAATCATGTTAAAAAGTCATTGCGAATGACCTACTCATTCACCAGCGAAGTGCCGTAATATCCTGTTCTTCAATGTTTTCATGCCTTGTGATGTTCAGATGCCAAATAAGCAGCGTTTTCTTCGAAAAAATACGAGCTTTTGTTCTCTTGCTTTTATTCGATTCTTTATTCAACATACTTCATATTCAATTCGAATATCGAAGTCATTTTCCGATATGCGAGAAGAAAAACAAAAGCGAGCTGCTACGTGTTCAATAAAAACAAATCAGTACTGCCAAGAAGGACATCAATCAATTCTTTTCAGAAATAATTTATGTATACACATAGGTATATGGGAATTGGCACGTGAAATTAAGAAAGATTTACAATCTGACACGAGTAAATAGATAGTTAGTTTAAGTGACAACTTTAAGTTTATCTTTACGAACAAATACGCCATGAGCGGGAGCACATGTGAAATAAGCACGTTGATTAACAGTACCATTATGTTTGCCTACATGGAATGAAAGGTGCTCTTTGGTGTGTCAAAGATTGTATGAAACTTACCAACTGGTTCTCGAAGTTCAATTCCAAACCAAATTCCTTTTTTCCCATCGATTTCGCCAATAAACCGTATAGTTCCTTTTTTCGAAACTATCGAATGGCCCGTATTGACGATGACTTGATCTCCAACAGAAAAACATCCTGGTGTATCGTCATAATTAGACGTCGGAAACGAGTCAGCGGATAGACTTGATGATATCGAGTCAGGTTGCTTCAGCTTAGAATCGCGGATCTCCGTTGGAATACCCTGACCCTCTACATCAGCTTCGACTTTCACCGGCTCGCATACGCATTCGATAACAACAGATGGTATTTGTAGAGATGGCACTTGCTCTTCCGGAACAGATATTTTATCTGGAATAGGATCAGACGGTTTATCCTCTTCATTAGGCGCCACTGATGGTTTGGAAACGTCCTGTTTGATAGATAGTAGAGAAATGTACGAAGAAGGATCATGTATACGAACCGGTTGTTGGTTGTATATTGTGATGTTGGGCGCACTGGTTGACTTAGCGATTATTTGTTGTTTCAAAGATTTTTCGGCTAACAGAACTTCCTAAGAAATTTGAACACTCTCTTTTGCCCATTGTTGCAAAATCGAATTTACTTGTCTTAGTTTATCAAGAAGTAAGAAAGAATCGATCGCGAATGCGTTATGAATATGTTTTGAAATATTTTCCTCCGAAATACAATCGAAGCCAGCTTGGGTTTGATCTTCAACAGCATAGAGGCGCTTCGGTATATTCGATACAATTTCATAAACAACACTGGTTCGTGAATAGGTTTCCTAAACGTAAGAACAGAAGAGATATTTGTTTTCTTACCGTATATAATTCTTACATAGCCGAGAAAACTCTTGACAAGTTTTTTGGGCCGCCATCCATCATTTGTGTTGATGGTCACAGCAATTCGCTTGCGTAGAACGATTTCCATATGAACAGGTTCACTGATGACTACGATAACTTTCACAATCAGATAGATCAATGTACCATTGGCCGTCACTTGATTTCTACGATATAATACAAATCTTCAGATGAAAGAAAATGGTCGCGTCGATCGAAAGCTCACATTGATTGTGAACGATGTCTCGCAGGATTCCATAGAGCTATGGCAGGAATCTAAAATGAAGGAAAACGACCGTGAAGAGCATGAAAAGTCTGTTGTGGACCGAAGGACCTCATTGGGCACATTTTGAATTAAGGATAATTGAATCATATTTGATGGATCTTCTTCACTTAAGAGCGTTTCTGTACCCGCACGATCCTTTGCGGGTTTGATTCGAAACGGATCCAAATCAAGAAAAATCAATGGCCGATGATGTTCGATGGTTATGGGTGGATCCCAATCAGCTGGAGAGCCTGATAAGATAAAACCACGGTTTTCTATTCCGATCAACGGAGATGTTTTACCTGGAATTCCAGTTGCTGGTGGTGGAAGCACAGCTATATCTTGTTCTTGAGCGAGTTGTCGAAGTTCCTCAAGAAGAAAATTTTCTTTTTGAATCTCATGTTCACTTTTATCTAAATGAAAATACCGGTTATGTACGTGTACTGAGAATTGTGTATTACTTGTTTGACAATGTAAAGATCGCAATTCAGTTTCTACACTGCTTTTTCGTTTCTCGATTAAATTTAACCATTGTTCTTTTAATAATTGTAAATCATGATCTTGATATGAATCGAGTTGAACTGGCGCATCTAGTTTTCGTGTGCCTGCCAAACCCATATCAATCGATCGTATTGTATCGATATGGAGTGGCAAAGCATCGGATCGCGGAAGTACTCGTACTTGAACTACTACGCGTTTGGATTTACCCTGACGTAAAATCGAAATACATATATGAATACGCAATTGGAGAGATTTTCTCCTACCTGCTTCAGTTGATAGATACCACCACTAGGAACTCTGTCGTCAACATCAACTGGTACAGGTTTCCATTCTCCTGCTTCATTCAATTCTTGAATCTCGACACTAAGTTGTATGTGCCGTTTGACATCCTTCCAACATTTACTTATTTCACGAACTTTTGTAAGATGTTCGTTGTCTTCTTCTGTGTCTGGAATATCTTTCGGCACTGTCTTTGTGCTTGATTGAGACCAGATTTCCACGGGAATCGAATTTTCTAGACATGTAGTTCGAAAAGTATCCGTTAAACGAAATGTGAATTCCTAAATGAAATCGATGGACTTCGTCATCATCAAAATCGGCTTTGAATTACCTCTTTATGATCAAACGAAAAGTGACGCTCATTATCTGCAGGTTTAGTCGCAACAGCTGTTTTATCTAGTTTCGGATTAATGAAAACGTACCGGCATACTATACTTTCACAGTTGATTTCAGGCAAATTCCGTGCTTCTTTTATCGCAAACTAGAATACCAACATACACGAAGGTTTCCTCGTCGTATTTTACCCATACTTTTATTGTTGTTTTATCATTTTTACCATCGAAAAGTCCGAACGATTCCTCAATACCTTCATCTTCGAAACTCTGCTGACTTGCGCTATGATTCGTACTCAGACTTTGTTCTTCACCATCGATACTGATCCACTCATTGATGCTACTCCGTGTTGCACTATTGATTTGTAGATCACTTCGTTCTTTCAACATTGGTGATCCTGTTTGATCAAGAGTTACATAAAGTGAGCCAGATATCTGCGAAAAACATATCATAAGTATCTATCAAGATGACGCTGTTTCTAAACGTTACCTCGCCTTTATCGTTGATGATAGGTACAATGTAATCTAGTTTCGAACTGTAAAATAAAGCTTTTAAATAAATATTTGCAACTCCGATTAATGTCTCCGCTTCGTCGTCGTAAAACGAATTGTGATCCTTCAACAATTCATTCTAAAATATTAACAATACAAAGGTAGTTTGTTTCTCTCGCGTTCGAAGAGTAAGATATCCTACTTTATTCTCTGATATCTTCCAGCGTTGATACGTTTTTCTCATTTCACTCAATTTATACTCAAATTTCTCCGTATTCCATATCTGTGGTGTCAATCCCGGTCGATTGACTTGAACTGCTGGTGCACATATACAATTAACTGTCTGAAACATAATCGAACACACATAGACATGGTAAGTCAAAGTCAGAAGCATACGCGTTCGTTTGGTTTTAAATATGAAACAGGTGTTTGTAGGGTAACGTTGTAGATGACGTGCCGCTGCATTTCAGTCGATATGATATTCGCCTCACATGTAAGTGAAAACATACGTTGATACTCTTGCCTAAGCTGAGTGGAAAATGCTTGTAATTGTTCTGGATCAGTTCGAAGTTTGTTAGCTATCTGCCATTGAGAGGACGAGGAATTAGTATATTTCTTATTTCGACGTATTAATTGAACTCGAAGATTTTCAATTTCTTCGTATATATCAAGAATTTCTAAATTTAGAAAGTCCAAACTTTGAACTATTCATCTAGTTTGATTTACTTGATTCGTCTAGATTGAGATTTAGTTTCCCATTTGTACCAGTCTCAGATGAATTCATGTTCGTTTGAGTTTGAAAACAAAAAAGGAACACCAAGTGAGGAATAGAAAATTCCTATGAGTAAGATTGTAACTAAATATTTTTATTTACATACATATACACATCACGTTATAGGAACAAGGTTGGTTTAAAATGATGACCAATAAAATAAAATTCACAGATGAGTCATTTTTCTTTTTACCTGTAGATAAAAATTTAACTAATTTTGTTTTTCATTTTTATATTTCAAATAAGACCGTGTGACTACAGAAGCATCTCGATAATGAATACCTATGAATTCCAAGCACGTGCACTTTACGACTTTATAGCCGAAAGTTCGAATGAACTCACTTTTTATGCGGGTGAAATTTTGACAATCACGTCAGCAGCCGATGGACAAGCATGGTGGTAAGAGGACATCTTCAGTCTGTTTTTTCACATATCACCCTTCCATACAGGTATGCACGAAATACTGCTGGACAAGAAGGTGCTATTCCAGCAAATTATATTGAAACCATAACGGATACAACAGAGCCACCAGCGGATCAAACTTCACATAGTACTGTGAATACCACTCCTGTTACTAATCTTGATGATCAACCACCGGCTCAGTTGAAGTATGAACAACAAACACAAGAATATACAAATTTGACAGATGATATGAATTGGTTTAACAACGACCAAGTTGCACCAGTGCCGGATCAACATAATGTAAATATTTCCACATCCTGTAGGATATGTCCTCATTTTCACTACATCATCTTTAGATAACGATGGAACGACAAAATGAGTTCGATAGTTCGTTCGACTCGATGTCATCACCATCAATCAATGGAAATTCTTCACATCAGACATCTGATCCATATATGACAACCGTAGACGCTCCATCGTCAGTTGTCAATCCATTTGCAGCATATAACGCTATGCCTAATCAGCAAGAATTATTGTATGCCAACTATACTGAATCATTTACAGCTATTTCACCAGAAAATCCTCCTGCCTCCTCTAACTTATTATCTCCATTTGCATATCCACAATCGACAATTCCACCGCAACAACAATATGAGCCACCTGAACAACACTATCAAACACCTCAGCAGCAATACGAAGCATCTGAACAGCAATACCAACCACCTGAACAGCAATACCAACCACCTGAACAGCAATACCAACCACCTGAACAGCAATACCAGCCACCTGAACAGCAGTACCAAACGTCTCAACAGAATGCATATGCTGGCCAATTTGCCTTTCCACCTACGACACAAAACGAACCTGTATATGAAGCTCCGCCATCGATTCCCACGTCTCGTACTTCTACGGAAACCAATGTTCGTGGTGCTCCACCAGTGCCAGTCAATCACTCGACGCCTCTAACGTCGCCTGTTTCGCCAACACCGCTCAAAAGCTCGGTAAGTGTTGCACCATCCCCATCGGGAAAAACAAAACAAGATAACCGTGGTTTCTTTACACTTCGACGACAAAAGACCAAATCGGAACCAGAAAAACGACAATCACTGGTTGAAGCCCGTTCTGAGGTTCGTACTTAAGAATGATGTTTCTTATCAAACAATTTTCGTTTAGCCCTCGCAACCCTCACCCAAAGATGACAGTGATTCTGACTTAACTGAATCAGGCTCTTCAGCACATAATCAAGTAAGAACTTTTTTTCATCTTTCATTTCGATTATTCTTTTTTCATACAAATTTATCAATAGAAAAAACAAAGAATGTAGGTATATCTGTAGCCTTTTAACCCATTACTAATACACTTCGTGAACAATATTCACCATGGTTATCTCTTTGTTTTTCTTTATCTTATGCAACAAAAAGCACTCGCCTTTTCTCTAGTGGTTTTGCTTCTATTAAAAAACATCGTTCGGTATCTTGTCTTCGGAATAAAATATCTTTTATATTCTTCTAGTTATCAAGCAAACCATCTGTTTCGGGCAATGATAACAATAAAGCATCAGCAAAACCAAGGTTATATACTTTTATCTTCTACCATCAAGACTAAATTAGTTCATTTGACGTTAGATTCTTTGATAAATTTGGAATTGACAATTACATCTTGCATGGATGCAAAATAAAAGCCGAAGAGCATGTTGACATCACAGTAAGAAGAAGAAAAAAGTAGTCAGACAATCGTTTAACTATTTTGTTTATTTCAAGTACGACGAGAAAGATGGTGGTGTCTATTGGTCAAATAATCCTCGCATTCCACCGTTTAGTTGTAAAGTTGAAGACCCAGCTAAGGGTACGAAGTTAGGTGGTTTGAAATCGTTTATGGAATACAAAGTACACGCACAAGTAAAATTCTACATGACTTTTACTGCGTTAGTTCGTTTGACAGAACGACGCTCTTTAGATTCCTGGAAGTCGAGTTGTTGGCCGTCGGTATAAGCAATTCGATTGGTTACATGAACAACTGATCACTAAATTCCGTTTCATTTGTGTTCCACCGTTACCTGGAAAACAGATCGCTGGTATGTCGAGATACGCATTTCGATTGCATGTATCTCTTATGTTCATAATAGGACGATTCGAAAATGAATTCATCGAAGAACGTCGACGACAACTTGAATTATGGTTAAATCGCATCTGTCGTCATCCTATCCTTTGTGCGTCGTTTCCAGTTCAACACTTTGTGACATGTGAACTAACAGAAAAGAACAACAAAGTACTATCAAACGCAAATCGATGACAAAGTGAACGAATGAATTCTAGGATTGGAAAGCAGGTAAACGAAAAAGTGAAAAGGATGAACTGCGTGATGCATTGTGGCTTCATTGTGTGACGTTCACAAATTCGAATTTAACTGATGCACAAATGTATTACTATCTCTCGAATGTTCATCAGACACGTTAGAATAGTTCTTTTGTTTAGTGCAACGCAAGTTGATGTTTTCGCTCAGCAACAGCCAGGCTTCGAAACCAGCTTACGAAATCTCCACCAAGGTCTAACAAAATATCTGGAAAGACATACGGAGATCTACGAACGAGATATGCAGCGGCTTGGAGAACTGTTTACGAAACTTTTCACGGCGATGCAAATCGACACAACAACAACTGGTAAATAATTGAATGAGCTTTTTTGCAAAGCCCTCAGCCGTTCATTCTTTCAGGTAATAAAGACCTATCCAATTCGATGTCGAAGATTGGCGTAGCATTCAATGGAATTGGTGAATTGTACAAGACAAAAGTGAGTTATTCGGAATAACAAACAGAATACGGTTAAACATATAATCTAGTCAAGCGAAGGCATTCGCGATTTCAATGAACGTATCATAGATTACATTGGTATTCTAAGTTGTTTTCCAGCGATATTAATGGTCCAACGGGTGAGTCGAGTGATGAGAGTCTACTTAGATGGCAAAATATCGATATAGAGTGCATCAGAATTTATTCGAAATGTTCAACAACGTGGTTCAACTGGTACACCTGACTTTGCTGGTGCCATACATCGTAGTCAAGTCCTAAATCATGTGATTCTAGCCGAAATCAACTTTTTCCAACGAGAAAAGGTCTATGATTTTAATACATATTTGAAACAACTTCTACACGAACAAATTATGTTCTACGAAAACGTAAATTCATTCGAAAAAAATTGCTTGTCGATATCATTCTATCGTTCTTTGCAGATCGTCGAAAAATTGCGTGAAACAGCCGCGGGGTTTAACTAAGCAAAACTAATGATTATAATGATTGGTTTCGTTCAAGTAATTCCTAATCAATTCTGTGATTTCTTGTTTTTACTTTCTTCGCATTTCTACAAATACATACTTCTCATTCGACGAATTCAATTCATTGCTTTTATTTCCAAGAAAAATATAGAACTGAGAACACGAATTCCTGATTTGGTGCACACAACAAAACAAAAACAAATTTCAAAATAGACTTCGAAAATCGTGTGAATGACTGAACGAGAGTATTGATGACATCTGACGAGAATTTTTCGAAGATTACACACCATCAATCGAGTGAAGACTGCTCGGCGTTGTGCTCATCATCAATGACTGGAGAATATTCTCATTCTCGTTTGTATCTGCTCTCTAAAACATAATCAACGAACTATTCCTACGCAAAGATGTCTTAGTTGTATCTCACATTGAAATCTTCGCTTTCATCCTGATACTCGTTGTAAATAGGTCGGATGAATATCGATGAACGCTTCAAGACGTAAGGATCAAATGGAAAGTAGGCATGAAGAATCTGAGATGGTACGATCGATGAGTAATTATCGAATGAAAACATTTCGGGTAGTGAATAACGACGATTAGTTTCGATGATGGAATAACAAAAAGCAATTTGATAATTCCTGTGCAAAAATTAACACTTGTTGGTCAACTTTCGTAAACCTTACCTCGCCAGCTGAGCAAATTGAAGTGTTATAGCCGGTAGACAAAATTTCAATGGATTCAATTTCGATGATATGACATGATTCAGTCGCCATTGAAAAACTCTTTCGATACCATTCGATAATCGAGCAATTTCTTGATGTCGATAGATAAATATGTAGAGAACTGCTTGACAAATTGCATAGAACGGTATATGACGCTTCGGATTGGTCCTGCATGTATCCGTTTCGGTTGTACTCATGTACATATGTAACCAGTCTACCATAGATTGTGTTAGAGTTAATACAGATCTGGAAGAGCAATGCTGGACTGAAAGAAGGAACGAGAAAATAAGGATTACGTACTTGATTTTGATATAGTTAGCACGGGCGATGAAACTGCATAGATAGTAAATGGCAGCTTGTCGAAATGTCATGGAAATCGAGGGTGAAACGAAGGTTTTCCAACAATTATTCATAAATTCATCGCTAAAATCCTAACATATTCGTCACACTTCGCATGTTTAACTCTCGTAACACCCAAGAACTTACTCGATGGAAGCTGCAAATGTAGAATATAAGAAATTGTACATGAGATGAATCATGTGTCGGTGAAAGAAACTTATTAAAAATATTCAGGAAATCTTTGAGTAATAACTCCGTTTGTTTGTACTGAAATTTTCCTAAAAATCTCCTTTGAATCTCGTTTTGTTTCATATGCCTCGATACTTTACCATCTTTATGCGAAACCTTCGTGATATATTCAAATAAAATAAACATCAGCCAATCGAGTTTGTCAGCTTGTTCATGTTTCATACGATCGTCACTCTGCTCGAGTGTAAACACCATCTCATTTTCCACATGACGTTCTTCCGTTCGAAGAATATCTTGTCGGGACGCGTGTACCTGAATCAAATGGAAATGAGACAACTTTCTCCAGTGTTCTAAATACTTTACATCCATTCGGAGTAATTTCGTGAGAATGATTTCGAAAAATTTCAATCGTTCGATTGGTAAATAGTTCAATGATCGGAGAAGATTTTCAACATATAGCACTTGGATATGTTTATCTTTCGTCATAAATGGAAAATACCGCTCGGCGATCGGGCATAGAAGAGTAGATGCTCTAAACAGGTAAATATGTTGTTTTAGTTATGAACAAAAAGCATAACATACAATGGAACGGTGAACATCAAACGTTGCAACGTATCGTGGGCGAAATCGTGGATCGAATTTTCTATATTGAAATAAAATAGAGGTGATCGCGCCGATGCTATGCAGAAGTGACGTACCGGGTACGGTGAAGAGTGTGAAAAGAAAACTGAGATACCGTTCAGCATGTTTAATATTGCTGGAGATCACTGTGATTTGAAAATGACTAAAAGCATCAAGTACAGCTTTGGATTGTTTCGTCCAATCGATTTGAAACTATAACGAACACAAGAGATGATCAATTTCGTTTGCTCCATAAAATACGACTTCGTACTTGAAGAAAATCTAGAAACTGTTCGTTCATCTGTTCGAATAAATCGACATGGTCGTGCAATTCATTGAACAATCGAATTAAGTATTCATCCTAGAGAACTCTCTTAAATTAAAACACATCAATCTTTCTAATATATGCATTACATTCGTTTGATTGTCTTTGATTGTCGTAGTTAACGTACTGTATAAGTACTTTTGTCCCTATTGAAAACAGATATATGAGAAACTTTCGAATGAATAGACATACTCGATTAAATTGATCGAATGCTTCTTGAATTTGGTCGATAAGAACGTACTCGATCATTTCTTGCTCCTGAATAAAAAATCGAATTTTAGGATAATCGTAATCTAATGCTCGATGATGACTCATCTCAACACTTAGTTGGATTAATTTTCATCCAATAGAAAAAATGTACTAGTCTAGTATTTATTTTTTGCACCAGAATACCTATGTGATATATATTTTTTGTTCTAAGAAACATAACAGTCAGTGGCCCATTGTATTTTTCTCGTTACTATGCATTTGTCCTTGTTGTTCGAAATGACCATGTCAAGGATATGTCGTTGATGTTGATTGCGAATTGTTATTCTGATCTTTTTTCTGTTTAGTTCGAAGATAGAAAAGGAAAACTATGGATTCGTCCGATGATCTTCTCGATGAACGTAAACAGCGTAAATTAGCGCAAATGTCACGACGAGATGAAGAACGCAAATTGGATCTTCAAAATAAGCAAGACGAGCGCAAGTTAGTAACAGCTACGAACGTCGGAAGAAAATTCTTCGAACAAGAATATCCACAGATGAAAAGCGAAATTGAAGATTTATTCAGTAAATTATCCGTGGGTAACGATGAGAAGATTCCAGAAATCGCCGATCGGTTACAAAAAATGGAGAAATTTATTACTGAACATGTAGACATTCTAAGTTCACGTGATGTGGCCAATGCGCAAAGTAAATGAGAAATTTTTTAGAACGAATAATTATTCGTAAATCTTCTAGCCGATGTGATCAAACTTCGTACGCAGTTAAACTCCTTACAAGTCGATAGTCTTTCATCCACTCATCGAATAGACTTTGCTAAAACTCATGACGAACATGTCCAACACGAACAATTAGAAGAAGTATCGAAAGCTGTTTCTTCACCATCGAACCTGATCGTTTCGGCCAATACAATCAACATTGCCAACAAAAACAATGAACTAATTCGTTTGGAAGCATCCGATTTGAATGGAAAAGATGTTGCTATCGAGAATTTAAAACAATGCGAAGTCTTTCTTAAGGGCAGTCCTTCCTCGTTGCAAATAAAAAATCTCCATGCTTGTATACTTATCGTTGGTCCATGCTTACGTTCAGTTCTCATCGATCAATGTCAACAATGTGAATTCGCATTAGCTTGTCAACAACTACGTGTACATACGAGTACCGAATGTGACTTTTACGTTCATATAACTGCTCAACCAATCATCGAAGATTGCCATAACTTAAGATTTGCACCGTATAACGTGGAATACAAGTTAAAGGATGAGCAAGTGAAAGCAAGTGGGCTGATCTGGACGAAAGACTATTGGAATGACGTTCGAGACTTTAACCATATGATTTCGGGAATGCCGTCGCCCAATTGGGAGATCATTGCTGAAGAAGAAAGAAAAGAATGGTCATTGGACTAAACGTTTATTTTGTTCAGTTCTTTTACATTCCACTGTAACGAAAGATGAAATAGATGTTTGGGCTTCTACATCGATTCCATCGTTCATTATCCATACTAACCTAAACTTTTTTCCCTCTCTTTTGCAAATCTGTGTCATGTACACATGTTCCATTTGTTTTCTTCTTTGAATATGTCAATACTATATCATTCGATTGTGAAGAATCTCTTTTCTCTCTCTCTCTCTCTCTTTCTACATTTTACCTAGATCAATTTCTGATTTGGAAGAAAATACAAACCAAATTTAACAATGATAATTATACTTTTTTTCCACATGTTTTTAGACAGACATTTTTACGATGCTTAAGTCTTCGGAACATGCCGATGAATACGACAAAGTGGCGATACTCGATGCCGGCTCTCAGTATGCAAAAGTAATCGATCGTCGTGTGCGTGAGCTGTCCGTTTATTCCGAATTAGTGCCATTGCAAACATCGGTCGCTGAATTATTATCACGTCAATATAAGGCTATCATAATCTCCGGTAGTCCTGGTTCAGTCAACGATCCGACTCCAGTTTATTACGATCAAAAACTATTCGAATGTGGTTTACCTATCTTAGGTATTTGCTATGGGTTACAAATGTTAAATAAACAACGCGGTGGAACGATTGTTCGACAAGCAGCTCGAGAAGATGGCCAATTTCAAGTGGAACTCAGCAATACCGACTGTCCACTATTCAAAAATATGTCGAATTTGGAAAATGTTTTACTAACACATGGTGATAGTATTGATAAACTTGGAGAAAATTTAGTATCGATTGGTAAAAGTGAGTCATTCATTGTTGCTTGTGCAGATAAAGAAAAGCCAATCTATGGTGTTCAATTTCATCCTGAGGTAATACGATTTGGTCGTTCAAATCCCATCCTGTAGAAAGATTTTTCAGGTCGATCTGACAGATAACGGCATGCAGATATTCAAAAACTTTCTCTTTGACATCGCGCATTGTCGTGCAACATTTACCATGGGTAGTCGAATTGATGAAGCATTTACTAGTATTCGATCGTTTGTCAAAGATCAGAATGTGTTTGTTCTGTGCAGTGGAGGAGTTGATAGCAGCGTCTGTGCCGCTCTATTAACACGTGCATTGCCCCCGGAACAAGTGAAAATCGTCAGTATTGACAATGGATTTCTTCGGCATGATGAAAGTGTAGAAATTCGTCAGACATTATCACAGTTTGCTGCTGTGAATTACATTGATGCTACTCAACGTTTCGCCCAAGCCAAAACATTCGTTCGCGCTAAGGCAACATCTGATTCCATTGTTAGTACTCAACAACGCGCTTCGATATCATCAAACTTTTTAAGTTTATACGATGCTGATGTCTTACTCGAAGAAACATTACCATTGAACGAAGAAATCGATCCTGAACACAAACGAAAAATCATTGGCGACACATTCGTCAAAGTCGTTCAAGAATTTCTTCGAGATAACAACTATACATTCGACGACATCATTTTAGCACAAGGTACATTGAGACCTGATTTAATTGAAAGTGCTTCCCATCTTGCCTGTCAAAGTGGTCATGCTGATGCAATTAAAACTCATCATAATGATTCACCAATGGTTCGCGAATTACGTAAACGCAATCGAGTCATCGAACCACTGAAAGATTTCCACAAGGATGAAGTCCGACAAATTGGTTTAAAATTAGGCTTACATCGTGATGTCGTTTTCCGACACCCTTTTCCAGGACCTGGCTTAGCCATACGAATCCTATGTGCGGATGAACCATACATGCCGAATGAACAATTCGCTCAAACGTCAACATTGCTACGGACCATCGTTACATACTCAACAATGGTTGAAAAACAGTATGCACTGCTGCCAACGTTGGACAAAATATTTACAGAGAATGAAAAAACACTATTGAAAACATTGACATCATCCGACAAGCACGATTATACTTCGGTGGTGTTACCGGTGAGTTTTGTTTGATGACGCTTTTCTGTTCATCTTCTTGTGCTTATAGATTCGCAGCGTTGGTGTTCAAGGCGATGCTCGTACGTATAGTTTTGCTGCTGCGATTAGTTCCAACGACGAGAAGCCGAACTGGAATGAATTGTTCATTCTTGCTCGTTTGATTACAAAAGCGTGCCATCATATCAATCGAGTTGTTTATGTTCTTGTAAGTGAACAATCTTCTGCTCTCTTTGGACTTGTAAACTTTCTTCGACTTTAGGGTAAAAAAATTCTCGATGCTGAAATTACTCAAGTGACACGTACGTCTTTAACCCAAGACATTGTCGACAAAGCCCGCGCATGCGATTACCATGCTATGATGATCATGAAACGTCATCAAGCGTACAGTGCAATAAGTCAAATGCCGGTTGTTCTAATTCCAATTCAATTCGACCGGCAAATTTATTTGAATCATCATGAAGAAATCAATAGTAATTCCGCTGAACAGATTAATGAACGGATCATTCCACTCACTCGTCTTCGATCGATTGCTAGTAGCTTTCAACATTCCGTTGTTTTACGTACTTTCGTGACGAAAGATTTCATGACTGGAAAGCCAGCTACGCCCGGTGAAACGTTTCCGTTAGAAATGCTTAATGAAATATGTGAAACAATCAAAACGAATATTCCCGGTATAAGTCGAGTTCTCTACGATTTAACATCCAAACCACCAGGTGAGAGAATTTAGCTCGTATTTTTCTTCGTCTAATTTCCTCCGTTTTGTTTTTCTCTGTAGCAACAACTGAATGGGAATAAAATACTAGTTTGTGTTTAGCAATCCGTTATTGTGGCATTTGTATTGATGTTTTCCGTTTGTTCAAAAAATAGAACATAGTTGATAGTAATCTCAGAACAATATTCGTATTTCAACATGAGTATCAATGTATTCGTTGTTTCTGTAAGTTAATAGATGGTTCGTGCTCATGTAACGAACATTCCACGCCAATATTTTGGACTAATCATTAAGAACAACCCAAATTCTTCACTTGGTATTTTATGCGGGAAAGCATGATGACGATGATGAGCTCGTTAAACTTGTTTTAAATATGGATTCTTGGTTTTAGTCCATGAAGAACATCGCTGATGAATGAGTCCATCGTGAATAAGAAAATAGATCGAACCGTATAGGATCATTCCAATGTCAACAGTCAGATCCGTCAGTGAATGATTGAACCATCTAATGCAGATAAATACAACAGAAATGGATGCGAAAAGAAAAGTAAAGACATCATTCAGTTCGATTGATGAACGAAGTGTACGTGCGTGATGAGTCTTGTGAATGAACTAAAGAGGACTATGAAATATGTATTTGTGTAGGAACTACGAGATCAGCTCCGTAAATAAAGTAGCCAAGAGCATTATATATGTGTGGCGTAGGAGCTTCATACTCGTTGCTCGGATTGTTTATGACAATGGATGCAGAGTCGGAGAAAAGAACGGGTTAAATAGCAGATGAAATCTATTGTATAATCTTGTCAATCGTCTGTTTATTTTAAGATGACTTCAATATGAATTGTTCATATTGATATTTCCCTAATGAACAATTGTGTTTTCATAGAAAATCGAAAACTGAATTTGAAGCTAAATCAAATAACTCATCCGTTTTGTGTAGCATCTTGCATTAAAAACAACCTGTGTCGGTTACATTCCTTAATCCATTATTAGCGGCAAAGTTATATTAAGAAAACATGCATTTGGTCCAAATGCGATCAACAGAAACTATAAACACACAATGAGACGATGCATTCAGTACATTCTTGAGAAACAACATCTTCATCTCTTTTCGCACTGTGAACTCTTCGCTCTGTTTCTAACTATGCAAAAGTGACATCTCATGAGCAAAACCTATTCTCTTCCTGAGCGCATCGCAGCGTCTAGGTATCGTTTTTTTTCTCATTTCTCGAACTTTATTTCAAACAATAAACTTTTTACAATAAACAATTCTTCTATTTTCGTGCGGCTTCGATTTCTTTGACTAGTTTCTTATAATTCGAATCGAAATCACTCTTCGTAAAATCTACATATAATCTTGTTCCGAGCAGCATCCCTAACCATCCATTTGGTTTATATTTTGCCTGTAATAAAATCGGCACAAATGGCTTTTCCAACCGATGAGCATATTCAGCTTCGCTTTGACAATTCGGTGATTGTTTATACTTTTCTGTCATACATATAATCATAACAGAGGATTGCTCAACAGCATGTGCCATGCATTCTAGAGTACTTCCGTGCATATCATCGATGTCTATCCATGTACGATAACCTGAATTACGAAGGGATTCACAAATTCGCTGTACCAATTCTTTGCACTCGTGGTTGTAACTTAACATAACATGCTGAGATGAATTGGGAACAGATGGTTGATTAGAATGTGTTGACATGGTTTGCTTTAATTGCCAAAGAATACCTTTTGCGGCTTGTTGTATCATTTCATTAGGATTCGTTTCAGCAAGTTGAACTAAGAGAGCGAAATACTTATCGTGACTATGAATTTTCGTTGCACATGATAAATCGAACGATAGAAACCAGACTGATTCAAGAATCAACTGCACTTCTTCTTGTTGATCAATCTTCGCATGAAATCGACGAAGAATCTCAAATAGTGATTCAATGTGTTCATCGACTTGTCCAATGCGCATTTGAAAGTTCCGATGCGTACATAATTTCTTCAAACAATTCACTAAACTATACAGGGATATTTGATTCGATAGATGAAAATTTTCGCTGAGAAATGCTTGACGGATCGCAGAGAATAACTGTTCGCAGAGATGATGACATGCATTATCAGATTCAAGTTCTTTCTCTGTGAGTAAATTCGAATAAAGTAAACACGAGATAAGACGTACTTGTTGCGCATCGGCTTTGAAAAGTGGTCGACATATTTGATTTATTATTATATCTAAATCAAATACACACTGATCTAACATCGAGATATTGTAAAGAATTGATAAGCATGATGTGAGGACGCGATGATGCAATTGTTTGAAAATCATTTCACCTTCACCTAGGCTAGATTTTCGAGTTAAGCTAGATACGTAATTGACAATAGATTGAATTAGGCCGACGCGATGAACCTCTTGTGCGAAAAGATTCGTTTCTACATCAGCACCTGTCAACAGGTTGCTTAGACAACGAACAAGGTGCCACAATGGAACTGTCGTGCCGCATTCGATCAATGCATCGAATAAGTGTTTAAAAGTGGATACAAATGCACAACTATGAATTTCGATTCCTGGGTGTAAAACGAATTCGCCCAATAAATTAAGCATATGTGTGAAAATAAAAACACGATCATTTGAATCTGTTTGTGAGCGAGCCGTTTCGTCGAGAACGCACTGTACGAAATAATCCGTATTTGATTTTGATAGCAATGGTACGATAATTGATTGATAAAAATTAGTATGATTACAAATATAAACTGAAAAGCGTGGCGTTGGTGCGCAAAAGAGAAAGACAGTTAAAATTTGATTGATTAACGCAGATGAAGTAACTAAGGAAGATTCAAGAAGGTAGATAACAAGTCGAGTACTATAATCAACGATCGATAATGACTCATGCATGGATGATTTTCGACGGTGATTAAACGTAAAACAAGATACAAGCGATGATGGATGTGTTCGATGTACTGGTGACGTCAAAAATAAATCATTTAGAAACTCTTTGGGCTTCTTACAAATAAGGCAATATTGTTCAATAGACGAATAGATTGCTAAATGAAGACCTTGACTGAAATATAACCGAGAACAGCACGTCTTTCTCTGCTTCTCATCGAAATACTCACCTAACAGATTTCGTTAGACAGAAATCAGTATCATCTCTAAGCCATTGAAGAATTGAATGCATGATCGCAGTGCCTTGATCACTGGCGGCTAATTCCGCATCTAATTGGCACAAGCATTTGAATAATCGACAGCTGAGCTGTGCCAATTGTTGTTGATGATTTTCGTGAGCTTTGCCTTTGCATTTCCACAAAGTTGTTCGATCAATCGATGCGATTATTATTTGAATAATGCCAACTAATGATTGTAATGAATGGTAGACAACTGTTTTCCTTGTCTCTAATGTCGTTATCAATTGCTCAACATCAATAATACTGGCTTTGACATGATTTCGATAATCGCGCGTTTTCAAACGTAAACATCTATTGAAGATTTCTTGTGTTGATTCATCAGTCGCCATCATTTTCGTTGGTCTTCTGTTCGAATGTATATTTATTTGCATATACTCTTTCATGATTACTCACATCGAAGTTAAAGAACGAAGAGAAGAGAAAAAAGTACATTTTTTTCTCTTCATTCGTTCGTTCGTTCTATTGCATACATTGTACGAAATACAGAAGTGAACTTTTATGTCGAGTTACCGTTAGAAAAAGAGAGATGGTATCAGCTTGAAAGGAGGAAGAAAGAAAATGACATTCATTAGTTATCACTACTTTCAAAATGTAAACGTGACAGGACGACATTATGATCTGAGAGATAAACTAGAAAATGAATGTTCGAAATGTATCACATTTGCAACATTTCGTTTTCGTACAAACTATTCAGAAGTGTTATGTAATATACACGTAAAATGATCGAAACACTCTTGTTCAACATCAGTAATGTTTTTCAATGTAAATCATGACGAAGATCATTTCTTTCACGGATACTTAGTAAACGCTTGTTTGAATTGCAATCCTGATCTAATCTGCAAGAAATCAAACCTTTGAGTGTACAGTAGAATCTATCACTTGTATATAATAAGCGTTGTTCGTTCTGGCACCAACTAGTGGCGACATCTATGTGAAGATTTTAATTAGCACAACTCGTAAACATCCATATTTTCTTTGGATTTGAAACGAATTTTCGTGTCAAAAAATAATTTTTGACCGATTTCCTTGTCATCTATGTTAGGAAATAATATTTTGTAATCTATCGTCTGTCGATCGATTGTGTGTTGTGCCTATGTTCTTCTTCTTCCTCAGATATAATATATTGTTTATTTATTTTCAACTGCCTGATCATCTCATAAATAGATTTTTCTTGTTGAAGATTCTTGTTTCTTTCTTCCAGTCGTTCACCTTCAATTCTTGTTTTCTCTCGATGTGTTGGGCTTGTCGTACGAACTCCACCCTATTCTTCAGCCATCAGATTCAACTCTTTCAGCTTGTCAAGTCGTTTTCCAATGGTGTTACCTCGTTCAAATCAAACAACTGCAACTCACTATGAACTAAATACGAAAAAGTGCCAAACAACAAAAGCGAACAGTAAAACAAAAAAGAAATCCAAACAACGTGTACTAACTGCAAAGTCCGTTCAAACTAAACGAAAGAAACTAACTAAGGTAAAATATTTCTGGCATCACTATCGAATAACTAACTGACAGTTTCTTCCTAGCGCGTTGACTTAAACGATCCCTCGCTTGATACCATCACTTTACGACGAAGTCGTCGTCTAAATCCCAAAACTAAACAAACCACTCCTCTTCCCTACTCGAATACTAAACTCCATTCGTTACGACGTACGAAGAATTCCTGTTCACATTCAATCAAACAAGATCATTTAGTTTCATCCATGGGTTTACGCAATGGTAAGATCGTTAATCTGCGTTCATTCATATCGGATACGACACCAACTCAAGAAGTCACGGCAACGTCATTGCCATTACCTTCATACAATCCCTTACCAATAACGCATCAAACGTCTGTGTCCTGTACATCAAAAACTGCACATCAGCAGAATAATATCAACAACAATAATAACAATAACAATAATAATGATTTCAATTTGCTCTTTTACTATTCGAATCTTACGAATCATCCTTCATTAGATCCGAGTAATTATTTTCCCGCACGATTAGATATTCTTCTTGATCGCCCGCCTGCATCACGTGAGAAACAATTGGAATACGCCTGGAATCATGAAGATCGTTCGATGAACATTTTTGTTAAACATAACGATCCATGTACTTTTCATCGACATGTAAAGCGAAGCATTCGCATGATTCTTATTCGCTAAATTTTCTTTTTCATTGTTTTAGCCTGTAGCACAAAGTACCGATGCTGTTCGCTGTAAAAAAGGCTTCTCCAGTGGAATACACGTATGGGAAATAGAATGGTAAGTTGGGATAAACACAAACTCTTTGATAAAATTGATCTTTAGGAATACGAGACAACGTGGTACGCATGCAGTCGTTGGCGTTGGAACATTAAAAGCTCCACTTCATTGTCCCGGCTATCAAGCACTAGTTGGTATGACTCAAGAATCCTGGGGATGGGACTTGGGTCGAAATAAACTCTATCATAAAGGCATCAATAGCGTTTATGCATCAACACAGAACCCTTCTACTCCAACAAACTTTTCTGGCCTAATGCCATCAACGACAACATCATCGACAATGACTGATCCAGCAGATGCATTGAACAATAATGGCATCGCTTATGCAACAAAATCAGATGATTACTTTGTTGTACCTGATAAATTTCTTGTGATTCTCGACATGGAAGAAGGAACATTATCATATATTGTCGATGGACAATATTTAGGTGTAGCATTCAGTGATTTAAAAGATAAAGGCACACTTTATCCAATGGTTTCATCGGTATGGGGACATTGTGAAATAACCATGCGGTATATCAATGGCTTAGAACGTAAGTTCGCTTCGTTTATGTTCGTCAAGAAAACAGTTCTTCGTTTTTTCTTCTTTAGCTGAACCTTTTCAGCTGATGGATACATGTCGTCGTGTCATACGTAAACAGTTAGGACGAACGAATTTACACTTAATCAACCAGTTACCATTGCCCACCTCTCTTCAAAATTATTTAGTTTATCAATAGAATAACAATAATTTATTTTCCTTACTTCATGCTCATTTTCTTTCTTTCTTTCTCTCTTTCTTTCCAACAACTATCTCTTCTACTACTTTAACAGTGCTCTGTACCATATATAGATAGATGTTTTTTTTTATTTGTTTGTTCCCTCATATATTGAAAACAGAATTTTTGTGTAATAGCTTTTTCTTGGACGTTTTGCTTGTATATTGTTGTGTGTGCGTGCGTTTGCGTGATCAGTTTTCTTTTCAATGCTGGATAGCATATGTATATATATATACATACCTATATATATATATATATATCTAAATGAATGTTGAGCACCATGATAGAATGTTTTATGCTTGCAGATTTTCGTCATGGCATCGAACACATTTTATAATCAGACAAGGCAAGGAGATGAATAAAATGAAATGAAGTTATTTGTTTTTGTTTTCTCGAATGTAGAAAACGACAGCCTCTTAATGAAAATATCGCGAAGAAGCGACAGGAGGTTGTTTATCGACCCTCATTGATGAAAATGGCACATGTGACAAGAACATTTTGGACGCAAGCCGAAGCATTAGACTACATTGTTGAAAAACAGAAAAATAATGATACAGTAACTGCTAAGATTAACAGAGATATCTAGTAACTATTTTCTCTTACGATAGGATGAGATTCTTTATCTATTCAGTTTCGAATCACAACCGGAAGGTAAACGTCGATATCAAGTTGCTGACATAGATGTTTTTATTCACGAATATTAGTAAGGCACGATTTCACTCGCATCCACTGATTTCAATACGATAATTTAGCCAATTGCCAGCCAATCAACGGCACACCTATGAAATCATCATTGACAGTAAGCAAGTTTTTCATACACAAGGAGTTGATTGTACGAAGCAAAATTTCTAGAGAAACCCTCGAAGCTCTATTTCGATCTTGAATACGATACTGCTGCTAATCCAAAGCTTGATGGACCGAAACTAACAACAAATTTTGTTCAGGTAGATGTCACATGAGAGTATACAATGTATTATGGTTTTATTTCTAGTTTGTACTGAATTTCATGCGAAAACGAAGTGATGATTTGGATTATTCAATTAAAGATGTGCTTGTTCTGGATTCTACGTATGGAAACGAGAAGTGATGATCAGGAAAAGCGTTTGTTTATTCTTTCTAGATCAGCGAAGAAATTTAGTCGTCATTTGATTTTTCAAACGAAAGATCCATTTCTTGATAACATTGCCGTCGGCAAATTCGTCAATCTCATTTTAGAAGATGTTCATGGTTGCTTAATCAACCATCAATGTCCTGCTGTTCTCAATTCTCCTGCATCTCAAGTTCAACGATCTCAATCTCATTCTGATTCGTCAGTTTTCGCTCGAAATCTTCTTACCAGTCTAGAACCTTATTTATATCGCTTTGAACAATGTGATTGCATTGATGACTATTCACAAATTAAGTTCAAAGACATTGTTGAGTTTATCATTAACAAAGGAGACGGAAGTGGAATCGCCTGGTTCTGCGATATGGGTAAAGGTACATCGCTGACAAATCAATACTGATCTGATGTTTTCGTAGGTGTTTACACGAAAAATCGAGCATTTCGTTTACTTCATTCAAGTAAATTTGATAAACACGAATGTTTTACCGTTGCACCGGAAAATCAATGGAAACCTATCCTACGACCTTTGCATACATGTTCAGCCGTGCCCAGTGAAGCTGAGCGACAGATATTTATGGCATCACTCGTCTATTTCAATAAGTAAACATTTGAACTAACTGATTTTCGATCTAATAAAGCACTTTTTTTTTTCTTTTAGACCAATTCGACGTTTCATCCATGTCGACGATGAAATCCTAACAGCGAGCAAGACGGTTCTACCGCGTAATCAACGTTCTGCTCAGTCATCTTACACAACCGAAGATATGAAAAAGATATCATTGGATTATCCAGAACTGGTTCACTTCATGACTGACGTAGCCTGTGACAAGAGAACCAACAAAGATGACATGTGTATGAGTCGATTGTATAAAGCAAAAGAAATTCAAAATGATTTTCGCTGGGAAATTAGTTTTATGTATGTTGGCAATTATCGATACTGCGAACGAATTCGTCGTCATCATAAGCAAAACAATATCTAGTACGTATATTCATTTTCATACAGAACTCACTGAATTCGCTTTGCGTTTTCTAGTTTCGTTGTTGATATGCGCAAAGGTACTTATCGACAGAAGTGTCATGATCCAGATTGTAAAACATTTCAAGGAATTGAACGAAAACTACCAGTGAATGCCACCCCGTGGTTAATGATGCTGGATGAAGATTGGGAAAACAAAGGATTCTAGATTATTTTTATATTTGTCGTGTATAATTATATATATTTAAACAATGGATTTATTAATAAATGAAAGATAGTACAATTTGAAGAAATCGACTCATTGCTCGTTTAATTGGTTGCTTACAGACGAGAGATTATCTTGGAAAATTTGAAAATGAGGATGATTTGTACACAATGATCGTTTACTTGTTTCCACAGCTTTCGTATGAAAGTCGACTGCTTTGTGATAATCTCCAAGGTTCTTGTACACTGCGCCAATGTTGTTGTAGCAAATCGCAAACATCGGGTGATTTTTCGGCAGAATCTTCTCAGCGATTTCAAGGGCGCTTTGATAAAATAGTAGCGCTGTGGTGTACTCTCTCATGCTGTATGATATCAATCCGATACTGTTATGAGTTATCACTAACGAGATATGATTCCGCGGGAGAATGTATTCTTCAATTTGCAAAGCTTTGTGCTGTGATCTCAGCGCATCAGAATACTCTTTCATGTTGTTGTATGTTACCGCCATACTTTTGTAACACATGGCCAGTAGAGGATGGGTTGATGGGAAGTTCTTTTGATAGATTTCAAATGATTTCTTATAGAATTCGATCGCTTCGGTATAACTTTGTTGACTATCTTTGATTACGCCCATTTGATGGCATAGGTAAGCATGTTCGATATCGTTGACGGTAAGTTTTAATAACGTACTGTAGACATTCTCTGCAGCATTGAAATTTCCTAATCGTATTAGCAAATTTCCTAGTCTTGGCCATCCAAATTTTTGTTGTGCTTCTTCTTGTATTTCTCGTCGGATTCGTTCTGTCAACGCACTCAATTGCTGATCGTTGTCCTTCGTTAATATCAAATCGACTTGCCAGAAATTGTCGTCTTCAGTATCGAACCGTTTGATATCGTCAATACGAAAGATTGTGTTCGTCGAGAAGAGAATTTCTTGTTCGGAATCTTTATAATAACTCGTGTTTTTCAACGATGCATAGGGTGCTGAAAGTATCGAGGGATCAATCATCATCTGAAAGACGATACCGCTCGAATTTGGATTCGCCCACACAGCATGTCGTGCGAACGATAGTGCGACATCGCGTTTCTTCGATGTTGATAAGAAATTATTGAATGACAGTAAGCCACCTTTAGTTTTCATTAATTTATCAAAATCAGTTTGTGGTAGGTTTTGACCGCGATAAACTACGAACGGCCTAATCTTTCGGCGTCGCTTATGAAATTGTTGTTTATATAAATATTCAATTTTCATATGAAGATCATGAATGAAAAAGCCCATTCGAATGATTGTTTCAACTTCCAGATTGCGTAATGCTCGATTAAGTATCGAATAAACGCAACAATTATACGTATACCACCGTATAACTGATTGACCATGGTATTCTCGTTCAAATTTACTGATATTTCTCAATTCATGAGGATTATTTGCATATAAACCACGGCAATAGGATGCGAAATCCGTCACTGAACGTCTGTCATAAGTGATTTCAAAGAGAATTTCTTTCAAAATTTGTGTATACATGAACGATGGATCGAGTTGGTTTATAGTCTCTTGTGCATTGACAAAACTGATCGGAATGAAGTTGTCATCGTAATTCTGTGTTGATTGTTTTAACGATCTACATAGGTCTGGAATCGTTGTTTCAACTGCTTTGATTTTCGGGAATCGCTTAATCCATTGTTGATGGATACATTTGATGTTACAATAAATGTAAATCGAATCGAGTTGTGACATTCCATGAAAGATCGCAATGCTCGTTCGACCGAGTATAGCCGAAACAACAAGAAACACTTTTTCATTGTGCAATCCTTCTAGAAAATTATGACATTGATCGACATTTGTGAAGAGATGAATGGTATTTATAAAACGCCGTAGATGAGCTATGTTAGTTTGCTGTACTTGGTTATGTTCATCAAGCGTCGAATCTAACCAAATGAGAACAAGATGACAGGGCTGCGCCTGCGATGTTGAAGAATTAGAAAATTCTGTTGACTGGTTGGAACCCATTTCGAGAACTGAATGCAAACGACGAAATTATGCTTTTATAGGATTAACACAGGTTGCAACAAGAGGATAAGCGTGATTTTGTTCTGTTGAAAAAGGAATTTGAGACAATATTGTCGATACTGTAATATTAGAATGTCGGATATTCTTTTCGATACCAGTGAAATGGACAAGAATGATAGAGGAAACTGATTTTATTCAAATTCTTTCTCTCAATATACACAGACAAAGTTCTCGATTAGATAACTGTATTGGATTTAGCATAGCGTTTAATTTCTGCAGGCAAAGGCTTCGATTCAATAAATTGTTTTAATTCGTTGTTGTTGACTGTCATGATCATTGTATGTTCGCCACTCAATGGTTCATCCACCAAGACATATCGACCGAAATATCGTCGAATAAAGCCTCTCTCAATCAAACGGATGAATGTCTAAACGAATAGGAGACATTTAATCCATACGATAAACTTTCTTATCTCACCTTGCGTACAACTCCTTTATCATAGAAGTATTTGTGATTTTTCATCACGTATTTCGAATATTCATGATACACTTGATCAAAAGTAAACTTTGTATCCGTAAGAATTCCACCGTTGTTTTCCTCTTCGTCTTGATCGTCCTCGTCACCACTATCATTTGCTCCACTGATTTGATTTTGTAATCTTTCATCCATACGTTTAATGACATTATTCGTCATTAAGAGTAATAGCAGTTCTAAGTGCGTTAAACATCCGTCTAGGTATTGATCAGGTCGAGTATCATCGTCGAGATTTGCGCTGGCATCTCGGAGATAATGAATAACCTTTTGTTCGATGTTTGTTAACGAATTGAATAGATCTTTCTCGATCTGTATATCTTTTTTGATTTTGTACGTTTGAAGGATGTGTTTCACATAGTCAGCAGTAGGCGGTGGTGACAGGACGTAATAGATTTGTGAGAAACGTGACTTCAAGCGTTTTTCGGGCAGTTCAAGACAATCGGCACGATTGGAAACGGCGATGGTCAAGATTGAATAGCTTTTCTTATCAGAATAGACAGCGTCGAATAAGGTGTAAAGGATTGAATTCAATTTCTGATAGGTAAACTGCTCGAAATGATCGAGAACAACGATGAAGTACAGTTTCTTGTCTTTGTTTTCGTTGGCGATAGTTTCGAATAGGATTTGTAGATTTTCATACTGATGCTCTTGATTGGTTTTCATTTGAATATCGTATTGCGATGAGATTTCTTGCACAGCTGACGATTCAACGGAATGAATCAAACCATTGAGACGAAAGATGAGCAAGCGCTCGAGAAGAGATAGATCTTCGGCACGAAGTTGAGTGAAAATGTGATCGAGTAGTTTGGTTTTACCACAGGATGGTGGACCTGCGACGAGGACGGTCTCACTTTTGTTTTCGGCTATGTGACGACGAAGAAATTGCGAGAATTGTTGAAGAAATAAGTCGATAGTTGGATTTGTGAAAAGAGCAGGTGTGGAAGGAATTGTTGGCTTTGAAGTAGCACGAGATGGTTGACGTCGTAGACTCATTTTGCGTTCAATTGATGAATGGGAAAGATATGATCCGTCTTAGTGTTCGATAATCGAAGAAAATCAAGCACGGCGCCATCTATAATATGCTATTGATGTCAGACAGTTTTATACAAACAAATACTTGATACTCAATAGAAAACTACTCGAAGTACAGATAATAATATTACTATGATGAAACCATACGATTCGATAGGATCATCCTTTGTCCGGGAAATCTGAAATGAATCATTTGGTTCTTTCTTCTTCGTGTCTATTCTCTTGTTCATTAGTTAGCAAAGATGGTGAACGAAAAGCTTATTCTATTTGGTGTATGTTAGAATTCTATCTAATCCTTTTTGATATTCTAATCTGAAAATTTAGGTCAATTCCTTGATCAGTGCACCGCTTGAACCAATTAAATCCATTCAAGATCTTCGTAATGCGGAGCACTTCTTGAATGTGATCAGTCAAATGTATGACACATTTCTTTGTTGTTTTCAATAATTCGTGAACATCGCCTCTTGCTTTAGCGAAGCACAAAAATTTGCAGAATCACGTGTTGAGATTCCATCAGCTGATGAAACTGTTCACGATAAATTCAAATTCATCCTTGACTATCTCTCGAGTACGTAGAATTCCTGCATCGATTTGTTCACTGATCTCGATCTACTACAGAACAATCAACATCGCCTATCACGGAATGGAATATCAGCGACTTAACACGAGGCAATGATACTCTGCTTTCCAAAGTAAATCGATATCGATTGAATTCAGTTCCTAGAAAAAAAGAGTCGTTCTTTTAGACAGCGTTATTGGTTGTATTTGCTGCACATGCTGATACGTACTTCTATTCCAAATCATTGGAAATGGATGAAGCTCAACATGAACAACTAGCAGCACTTTTCGATTTGCATATGATTGAAGCTACACAAAATAATCCATATCAATTAAATATTGATGCTTGCCTTAAAGATGGTTTGTAAAGAGATTCTGTTTTCGGTTATTTTTAGTGAATGCATTCCTTCTAGATTCGACCGGTGGACAACCTAAGCAAACGACACCGGTTATTAGAAAACGTCGAAATACGCAGATTTGCAGTAAGTCGTTTTACGTTCATATCATCGCGTGAAATCTGTTTTCTTTTCTCCGAAATAGATTTAAACGATTCATTGAACAATCCTAATCGTTCGTCAATTCTTGATCGAAGCTTCACTCGTTCGCCTGGTGTACGTTAGATTTCTAACCGTACTCTTCAACATATTCTATCTTTTCAGCAATCACATGCAGCAGCCAATGCAGCTGCGCAACAAGCACGCGCACTTCAAGAGGATCTTTTCAAAGTACAATATGAACTCGACGATCTTCAACATAAATACGGGGGATTGGAAAAAAGTTACAATGATCTCAGTAAATCATCCACGTTCTTGAAAACATTCGTTCGATTACTCGATGTGTTTTAGAGGAAAAGAATCGTGAATTGTCAGAGAAAGTTCTTCGACAAGCAGATTATGATACTATCAAGGATGAACGAAATAAACTTCGCGAAGATCTTCATCGCTATGAAATCGATAATAAACGGTAGATGCCTTTCTTTGATTCTTCATTTGACCATGTTCTTTGTTCGTTAGTCTCCATGGAGTGAAAGAAAACGTAGCAGATTTACAGCAACGCCTTCAGCAATATCAAAAGAAAAACGATGAAATGCATGAAAAAGTCGCTACTTTGGAAAGAAAAGTATTGCGTCATCGTCTTCGATTTCTCAAATTGAACTTCTCATCGAATACTTTAGCTTCGTGAATCCAAACAACAATGTGATGAGTACAGCAAGAAGATTGTGAATCAAAATGCGGATATTCTTCTCCTCTCCTCGTCCAACGAACGCGTGAAAATGTTAGAAGTAGAAAATCAACAGATGAAAATCATTAAAGAGCAACGCGAAAGCGAACTACTTCGACAAATTCGTCATTTACAAAATGATAAAGAAGAACTCCAACGCAAACTCGACGGTACGGACGAATCTTTGTTTTCTTTTGCCAAAAAGACCGGATGGGAAATTTAGAGCCCATGACTACCGTCGAAACACCATTAATCGTTGCTGAGAAACGAGCGTTGGAAGAAGAGTTACATACGCTGAAAATGTCGTTTTATGATCGACGCGAAGCCGATACGGAAATCGAATCGTTCAAACAAACAATCAAACAATTAGAAGAGAAACTCGAACAACTCCGAAACGAATGTCAAGAACTGTACAAACAAAAGCATGAATATGCTGAAGAGCAAATCTCACGTACGTCATTTTGTTTGACATTTTAAGATGTTTGTCACGAAATCTATTTTAGTTCGTAATGAACTTCACGCTCAGTTAGGAAATTATGAAAATAAATTAAATTCATCATCGAAACTCGCGGAAGAATACAAACGAGAAAATGCGAAGATCGTAAGGATTTGTACAAGAAAAATGTCGCAAGAAAATCTTTTGGGATATTTTAGACTGATGAATGTAATCTTCTTCGAAGTGAAATCATTTCGTTGAAAAGTAAACTGCATGGACAAAGTGGTGAACTCAATTCTGAGATTGTTAAGTCTTTTGATCTTCGACATCAACTCGGTTTACTTAACGAGCAAGTGGCGCTGAAATCCGGTGAAATCGTCAATCTGCTAACAAACATCGATTCTTTGAAAGTCGAAATCGATCATATTAAACTTGACCGAGATAATGGTCAAGCGCGTCTGAATGATTTACAAATGCAATATGACAAATTAACGAATACATGTTCAATGTATGAAGTGAAATTGAACGAGCAAGAAGAACGCGAGACGGAACTGAAATTACAGGTGAAACAAGTACGAGAAATGCATGAAAATATTGTCCATGAAAAAGTCCGTTCACAGACGGAATATACTGACGCTCAAATGCGAGTAACGAAAGCTGAACAAGCGTTGAAAGATAAGATTGAAGAAGTTGAAAATGTAAGTGCGGAAGCCAAATGGAAATTCACATTCACGTTTTTATCGCATTTCAGTTGAAAAAAGCCGCACGATTGTACAATCAAGATATCAAAGAACTGGAAAAATACGGTGAAGATCTACGCGAACATTACGAAAAATCCAAAGTTACGCATAAAAAGGTAAAGAACATAAACCATCGATGTGAGTTCTTAAGAATTTCCTTAGACCGAACAAGAATTGAGTGAATTAAAAGCGACTCATGCGAAAACATTATCGGATTGTGAAGAATTACAAAAACAAATAGCATTTTTAAAAACCCGCTGCGGCCAATTAGAAAGTGAACGTTTACCGTTACTTGCTCAATTGGAGTTTGCTGATCGAAATCTCCGACAAGTAAAAAAGCAACAGCAGCAGCAACAAGCGACAATGATGACGAGTACAACTGTTCATCATCAACCACCGCCCGTTTTACAACCTATCGAAAATAATAATAAATCAGTCTCGCGATTAGTTCGATCACCGAGTCTCGACATGCGCGTCATGCGCCGTACAGGTAAGAACCTAATTTTCCGTTTGCTTGAAATCATGTCTCTGTTTAGCTGATAAAATGGATGATACTCGTTCACTGGATCACGATGATTTAGCATTACTTCTGCATAAGAGTCAATCGTACAATCACTATGCTTTGTAAGAATAATTCATTGTGAAGGTCGGTGGAAATTTTGATTTATTATTTTTTTTAGAAATGGTCGTTCGACGGATCATTTAACGAAATATGGTAAAGATTTTCATTATTTACCTATTTGTGTTACTTAGTTTGCTTCTCTTTATTAAGAAATGGAGAATGAAGAGGAACCGATTCATCTGGATTTAGGTTCAATCGATTATAACCGACGCATGACAGAATTACAACGTCGAAATCTTAGTCAACCAATGCATTTACGTACAGCGTATGCACTTGAAACGTTGGAACACGATCCCGAAAACTTCTCGGCTAGTTTTATACGCAAAGGTGGGATAGCGAATGATGAAAATTTAGCACGACAAAGAATTGCTAATGAAAATCAGAAGGAAACAGAGGTGATGCTGATTTCTTCGAAAAGAATTTTACATTCATTTGCCTTTTTTAGACGCCAAAAGCTTCTCGTTTCAAGAATTTATTCAATCGTAAATAAAATTTCTACTCTTACTCGTTCAATTGACAAATTAATGTTTCATATATAACTACTAATACAAAATTATTCTTTTTTTCGTTATACAAATCAAATGTTTAACTTTAGATGAAGTAATAAAGAAGTTCACCTGCTATAAATCTTCCTTCATTTGCGTTGAAAATGCACTCGAATCAGTTTGCTTTGTGTTCAATGTCCGATCATTCTCGTTGTCGGATTTTGTCGATTGTAATAACAGAAGAAATTCAATGGATTTCAATGTTTGATGCATTTCTTCGAATACTTGTTGGATTTCATTGGAAGTCGGCGAAGCATTGTTTACCAGTCGATGCAGTTTGGTATTTGTTACTTTACCGCGAAATAAGATATATATTAGAAGAATAAACAGTACTGTGAGGAGAGACGAAGCAAAGATGTTTTTCCATGTGGAAGAAAATCGCTGATTTCGTTGATGGGAAAGAATAGTTGACTGTATGACGCAAGTTGTGCTTCGATCGACGAAGTTCGAGGTCGGTTTTCTACTTGATGAATTATGGTTCATTGTATTTAAAAATAGGACCGGGGTTGGTATATACCAGTATGTGATTATTTACGTGATTTTATCTGTGTTTTTGCTAAATCACGTTCTACCCGAAACACATCGGAGCATGTTTTTCCGCTTGATTAGTCATCACTCATCGGAATCACCAATAAGGTTGCATCAAGTATTTAGATATTTCCATACGAATATCGCAGCATTTACGTCAATGCTTCTGTACTTCCGACAAATTATATTCTATTCAAAGCAACATATCTGATTAATATCGGAATAACTATATAAACTTGTAGTTGTCGACGGGCCGCTGGAGACGTTGATTAACTCGTCGATCACTGATTGTTCTAAAAATCGGGATCATTTGTATGCTCTTTTTTTCTCAGTAAATCTATCGAAAACATTCGATCCACAGGCATTTTAATCTCACTGTAATTTCAAAAGTCGGTCGTGTCAAATACATCCTACTTGATATCGATTTAGAAAATTGATGATTCGACGCGTTCTAATCATTTTATCCTCTTATAATTCAAATTTTTTTTTATTTGATATCAGATATTTGCTCGAAAACAACACCGTCCAACAAACTATATATACCTGCAATATTTTGTGATAAATATAAAACTTTCGATCATTCGATTGAAACTATGATCTCAACATACACCGCCGTCGTCTTCATTGTCAGCTTGGCTGCGCCATTGGCATATGCCTGTGTCGTCGACAACTTGAAAGGAACTTGCATGGAAAAATCTGCATGCGCAGGCCGAACAGTTGCCGGAAAATGCGCTGGTGCTGCAAATATTCAATGTTGTTTACCAACTGGCACATCTTGCTCGGCTAGTGGAAAGAGTGGTGTTTGCGTTGATGTCGGTTCATGTGCTGGAACAGCCGTCAGTGGCTTATGCCCAGGTGCAGCTAACATCAAATGTTGTGTTGCTAGCGGTGGATCAGCAGGTTCACCAGCTGGCCTCTGTGGCAGCTATGCTGGCAGTGAAGTTAAGTCGATTGCTGGTAACGATAATGTCATGTATTCAGTTGTCAAAATCAGATCAGAACATTTAACTACTCCAAGCTCAGCTTCATTGTCACCAACTGACTCTGACAACACGATGACAACAACGACAGCTTGTGCTTTCGATCAAATGGCTACCGCTGCCAAAGCTGCTGGTGTGTCTGTCAAAATTAGCTCTGGTTTCCGCACCATTGCTCGTCAGAATTACTTCTGGAACTGTTATCAAACCAAATCATGTAACAATGGTAATTTAGCTGCACGACCAGGCACGTCGAACCATGGTAAAGGCATTGCTCTCGACTTAAATACAGATTGTGGTAAACAAGCCGGTGCTAAACCAAACTGTGGCGGTAGTGCTGTTTATCAATGGTTATACAATAACGCTCATAATTACGGATTTACTCGTACAGTTCAAAGTGAACCATGGCATTGGGAATTCCGTGGTGTTGGTGTTGCACGTGCTAGCTTCTCTTAAATAATGCTGACTTTTTCCAACGACACAAATTTAAATCATGCAATACTTCTATCGCAGTTTTGTGATCACTACTCAAAACATATGTAGAAGTTCTTTTCTTTTGTCTAGTATTCATATCATCGAATTTAAATAAATATTGAGCATCTATCAAGGTCATTGTTCTAATGTATGCGCTAGCTATTTCCAATCTGAATATAACTCAAATGAAGTAGTCGTAGAATACATTGGTTGAGTATTTTTAATTCACTGTGATCGTCAAGCGAAAGATTGTTCATTGTCTTTAGTACATACATGTATATACACCACGGGAAAGAGAGAGACATACCAGACAGTGATTGTTTTTAATCGATAGAAGAATGGCACAAAAGGAGTTGGGTAGCGTTAGAGAAACTTTAGTCTTTTGGAGAAAGAGAACAAATGATGATGCGTTTTAATATCACGTTTTCTAGTGATAGAAATTTATCAAAAACTTCAATTTGATAGAATAAAGGCTTGTACCTTGTGTGGATATGAGACAACTTCTCTCTAGGCCACAGAATTATTATTTGCTGAGAGTAAAAGAGCAATTGACCGAAGATTTTTTCTCACTTTCGTTCATACTATATCACTCGGGCAAGAAATCCATGATGTGCCCTTTCGTACTTAGAAAACATAAAAGTTTTCACTCGACCAACTATTACTCATCTTGATACGGATCTGATTGCGTCAATTGGTAATCTATTTCGATATGGATGTATGAGCATTTGTATCATTGCTTTTGTATTTTCTCTATATGACGTCGTCTACATAACAACGCATCGAAGATATCTATTTATAACTATACCAATTATCGCCGTCGACGAGTTAATACGGACATTAATGAAATCGCCCATCACTGATTGTACCAAGACTACAAAATATTAATCTCTTCTTTTTTTTAATGCATTCACTGAAAAAATTCGATTCATACCTAATTGAGACAATCAGTTATATTAAATATATATCTTATTTAAAAATTTGATATTAGATCCGCGGCTAAAATAACAAGAAACTATGCCTAAAGACTTCCTAGTTATGGACAAAACTCAAAATTTTCGATCGCTTGATTGAAACTATGGTTTTAATATACATCGCCACCGTCTTCTATGCTATTATTGCCAACAGGCATATTTTGCTCTGTTAGTGAGATTACTGGTGTTTATCTCAATGTCGATTCGTGTGTTGGAACTGCTGTAAAATAAAATCATGCAATAGTACTAACAAGGCTGCACCAACATTGTTTATCCCCGGTTAGTCATAAATCCTTCTGAATACGGATTGACTCGTACAGTTCAAAGTGAACCATGACATTGGAAATTCCATGGTGTTGGCGTTGCGCTTTCTAGATATGCCTAAGTCGGAATAATTTCTCAAAAAATAAAATCAGCATATATTTCTGCCTGATACATATACATGACTGCTTGCGACATCTACATAATTCTTCTTTTTGTTTTGCCTTATTAATATTTCGATCGTAAGATTAAAAGAAATCGTGACCATCTATTACGAACATGATTGCAATGAATTAACTTTCGAATCATAAATCTTTTTTAAAAGCCAAAGAAAATAGACCGATAGCGAATAAATGTACCAATCAGTATTGATCTATATCATCAATCAATAACTCAGGAATACTCCCGATGATTCGAGTATCTTCCATGACGTTTCGATTAGATAATAAATACGTGAGATCTATTTAACTTTAGATCATTTGTTAACATGTTCGCTCAACAACGCGTCGTTAATGCCTGTCTAAAACATCTAACACCACGACTTAGTCATGAGCAATCATCAATAATTCGAGTAAAACTACCTTGTCACTTGCGAATTATCGATTTTCATTTTCATGTTTTCGTTCAGGCTACTCTTCAAGCACAGAATGTTCGTCAGAAAAGGTAACTTTACTCTCTGTACTGTTTCCTTTAACAGCTTTGTTTCTCTATATATAGTGACTCCAAGGATGTTTCAAAAGCTAGTAGTGGAGGCAAAATTAAAGGCCATATTGTCGGTATCGATCTTGGCACAACTAATTCATGTGTAGCTATCATGGAAGGCAAAACGCCAAAAGTGCTGGAAAATGCTGAGGGTTCGTTTTAACTAGAACTCCTTATATTCTTGATAAGCTATGTTTAGGTATGCGAACAACACCGTCGGTTGTCGCATTTACTAAAGATAATGAACGTCTCGTTGGTATGCCTGCTAAACGTCAAGCCGTAACCAATCCTCAGAATACCTTTTATGCAACAAAACGTTTGATCGGAAGAAAATTCAACGATGATGAAGTTAAAAAAGAAATGTAAAGACCAAAATATTCGTTTTAACCATGTAAGAAGAATGAGTTCATTCTAGGCAAAGTGTATCATTTAAAATCGTTCGTGCCAACAATGGCGATGCTTGGGTTGAAGCTAACGGTAAAAGCTACTCGCNGAATTGTTTGGTAAAGCACCAAATAAGTCAGTCAATCCTGATGAAGCTGTTGCTATGGGTGCTGCTATTCAAGTAAATTTCGTTTTATTAATTCATTTACGTCCTTTTCTGATTTCGATGCTTTTCCATTGTTCAGGGCGGCGTTTTGGGCGGTGACGTTACTGATCTCCTTCTTCTCGATGTAACACCACTTTCATTGGGCATTGAAACCTTAGGTGGAGTCTTTACAAAATTGATTAATCGGAATACAACTATACCGACAAAGAAAAGTCAAGTAGGAGTTTCTCCTCCTCAAACAACGGATAAACTATGATATCTTTTTTAGGTTTTTTCCACTGCTGCAGACGGTCAAACACAAGTGGAAATCAAAGTCCACCAAGGAGAACGTGAAATGGCTGCTGATAATAAGTTGCTAGGACGATTCAATTTAGTAAGTCATCTGTTGAATTCTTCAAAAGCTAACCTTTCTTTTCAGGTTGGTATACCACCCGCTCCTCGAGGGTAAGCAGACTAATAGCATATCTTTTTTCTCGAACTTTGTTTTATTTGTACTAGAGTGCCACAAATTGAGGTGACATTTGACATTGATGCAAATGGTATTGTTCATGTGTCCGCTCGTGATCGTGGTACTGGAAAAGAGCAACAAAGTAGATTATATTCTTTAGGAAAATACATGAATGATTGTCTTTTCTTTTGTAGTTATCATTCAGTCGAGTGGAGGTTTGAATAAAGATGAAATTGAAAATATGGTTCGTGCCGCAGAGAAATACTCTGCTGACGATAAGAAACGACGTGAAACGGTCGAAGAAGTAAACCGTATCGAATCGATTCTTCACGATACAGAATCAAAGATGGAAGAGTATAAAGATCAGCTACCAGCTGATGAAGTAAGCTATCCGATTGTATTCATCGAAACTCGAAGGCAACTTTTGTTTAGTTTTCCAAATTGAAAGATGGCGCTTCGAAATTACGTGAGAAATTGTCCAACAAGGACAATGAATCAGTTCAAAATTTGAAAGAAGCTGCTGATGACTTTCAAAAACAAAGCTTGAAATTATTTGAAACTGCTTATAAAAAAGTACGTAAAAAGACCTGACCGTTTGCTTTCTGATCAGCATGGTTTTTCTTTTTTAGATGCAATCTGATCGTGAAAGCTCACAATCATCATCCTCAGGCACTTCCTCCGACGAAAATAAAGATCAACAAAATAAATAGACGTTGTTTTTCCGTTTTTTTTTATATGTTTGGTATCCCTTTGATTGTTTTTCAGTTATGTATATCAATGCAACAAAACAAAAAGAGAGAACCAATCAGTTAATAAATCAAATCAACAAAAATAATTAAAAAGAACTGATTTTTTAGTTCGTGAATTCAAGGATAACTAGATGGGCTGTCAGGCTTCGCCCGACCGCGAAATACGGTGCGACGAGTTTTCGGGAACATAGGAGGAAGTGTATGCTATTGAACGTTTATTTTCCAGTTAGTGTATAAGTCGATAGTTCCTGATATCGTTGGAAATATTTTTCAGCTAATACAGAGAGCTTTTTATAGGAGAAAACTAAGTAAAAGATTCGCGTAAAACGCTGTATCATGATGTCGCTGCATTAAATCATCTTTTTATCAACTAATCATAAAATACAAACAAACTTTTCTTTTGACGCCTGCTCTGATTTTAATTATCTTAACAATGTAAATGCATGTGCCATGATTTACCGTTACGTCCATGTTTTATTTTGGGCAAACTAATGGTAAAAGTGGAATTCGAAGTAAAAAATGAGCATCTACATAGCCATAGCTCCTTAACAGCGTTTGTTCGGAAGGCTAATGACGCTCCGTTCTCTAGATCATCGAGCCACTTAAAATGGACTTTGGACGCCTTGTCGAGAAAGAGAAAAAGATAATAATAACTAGATGGGCTGTCAGGCTTCGCCCGACCGCGAAATACGGTGCGCGGAATTTCGCCTGTACCTTCATTCTATTTAGCTGAATGGATAGTTTATTTGTGCAACCATGTAGTTTGAAGTTAGAACTTCTCTAGTTGACATAGTTGAAAATGAATTGCTCACTAAGACTGTATTTAATGGTAGCAAATTTGATTTGACAGAAGTCATAAAGAAAGTACTCAAATCAAAGCCTCTATGAACTAAAATCTAGAGAAACGTGAGGTCGCCGCATTCATTAATTGTCTTTTCAACTAACCATAGCGCACTTCTGACAAATCTTTTCGCGCCTACTCGTCTTTTAATTATCTCCACTGCTTAAAAGATCTTCGCCACAGTTTACCACAGAGTCCGTGTTTTATTTTGGGCAAACGGCAACAGTTTATGAAATTCTGAGAAAAAAATATCTCATCTTCACCTAGCTGACTGGTCGACAGCGTTTATCCTACAGTTCAACGACGCCCCGATCCCTTGATCAGCACGTCACTAAAAATGGACTTTGGACGCCTTGTCGAGAAAGAGAAAAGATAATAATAATAATAAAAAGACGCGAAGAAACTCAATAATACGATGCTAGCGCACCGTATTAAAAAGACGCGAAGAAACTCAAGAATACGATGCTAGCGCACCGTATTAAATAGGCAATGAGAACTGTGCTGTTACTAATGAATAGATTTCTTTTTTACTGATACAATGTAGGGGGCATAGCTCAGTGGTAGAGCGATCGCTTCGCATGCGATAGGTCGTGAGTTCAATCCCCACTGCCTCCATTTTTTTTGTCGGCGAAAAGAAATTCTTTTATGTAGGCAAAAACATACTTCACATTATTTTATTCTTTAAAATAGACTACCAATCAGAAAACAAGTGAGTTATTCTATAGACACATTCGATTATATTCCCAATCAGTAAGCATTTTCCACTTTCGTCCAAATAACACTGACACCGCATCTTCAACACGATCATATTTTCGACAATGTTGCTCTAACCATGAATGAATAGACTCATTATTGTCACCAGATTCTCTGAATAGGTACTTTCGATATTCATTTCGTAGAATAACACAGTTCCGCCGAAGGTAAAACTGTTTGAGATTATTTTTCGCACCGTAATATGCAATCAGAAGACAAGTGGCTGTCGATATCCGCTCTTTGATTGCTAATGTGTGTAAATATCGAGCGGTTTTAACCAGACCGATGTAGGCTGTATCGGCACGTTCGAGAAATGATCGTGGGATGTAAACTCGACACATAGATTTCAAGTGAGCCTGAAATAACAATTGAAATATTCATTTGAGTTCAATTTCAATCGAATCATTTACATAGATTTCTAAAGTCGCACTGAATTGTTCCATACAAGTATAGATAGATGTCTGTACAACTTTGACCGAACAAGTGTTATAAATAATCGATTGTATCGGAGCTGAACCTTGTGGCCAAAGTGGCTCTTCTTTACACTTACCCTTCGTGATCATGCGAATATTCCATCGTCGTTTACTCTCCTTCAAAATCTCTTCAATTTCGTTCCAGACAGAGTCTCTATATCGATGGGATATAGTCAATTCATCATGAACGATATCCAACCGACGCAAATAAATTAAATGATTAGCAAACAGAAGAAGTACGCCATCATCCAACGAATGCGGACTAATCGATATTGTGTGTAAATTTGGAAATAAGCCAACTGTATACAATGGGATAACATACGATGTGTAATTTAGTACTTCGATGTATTCGAGTGTTTCACCGGAATTGACTAAGAGTTCCTCGAGACATGCACCAATGTCGAAATCGGATGCGAGAAAGAGATCATTCAAATGAAAGCGCTTCAGTGAGCGAACGGATGATATGAATTTACGTAATTTGTTTAGGATAGTTCCGCCCGTGCCATAGTACCGTTTATTTCCACGTATAAATGCATTTGGATATTCATTGTAAGCGTGAAGATGCTCAGGATTGTTTTCATCATCATTGATCAGTTTTAAAACGTGAAATGTAAAAGAAAACTCGTCGAGATACGGAAAAGGGTAGTGGCTCTGATCGTGATGATGAATAAAATTCGTTAACATATCCAGAAAGTCACACATATTGTGATATTCAGGAATAGGTTTGATAATCAACTGTTTGATATATTGACTTTTTCGTGGTAAATATCGTTGTACACGATATAGATTAAGAATTCGCTCATAACCACGGTACAAGTTGAACTTCTTTCGTGTGAAAATTAAACCATCGAATATGAAAGTTTGCCAAATGATTGGCGAATGGAATATTTCATACCTAGTAAAGATTTGCTATCATGATGAAGCAGACAAGCATCAACATACCATGTCCGACAAACTTGAGAAGCGTAATATCGATGTGTAAGTGAAAGATAACTGAAGATTTCTTCTAATAAGATAGTTGGTAAATCTTCCCAACCCATAGGTTTGACTTCGCTAGAAGATATAGGAGGCAGAAAGTTAATTTCGTTTATTTTCGAACGAAAGTGAACGAACAAAACGGGGAAAGATGCATGATAGAAAAAAAAAGACACACTCACTCATGCATGCTTTCTTACTCTCAATAGATAGGCAAGAAAAACCAGAAAATGAGAAAATGATCTATAAAACAACGAAAACAAAGATCTGTTCATATTTTCAAGCACTCACACATAAAGAAAATCAACAAATGATCTAAGAAGATTGCTTGGATGAAATGTAATCTTGTTCGGTTACGAGTAATTTTAGATTATTTTCTGCGTCTTTCAAAGACGGAATAAAAATCGCCAGATAACCTTCACCTTGAGGTTTTTGTTGAAGTAAATCTGGTGTTTTGATAATTTCATCATTTAATTCAACTAGACGTCCTTTGATACTTGCACAAATTGTGAATATTTGCTCGTTATCACATTTGATTCGATATAGTAATTTGTTTGGTTGAACATAATCAGCTCCGCGTTTCGATTTACCACTCATCGATTGATTGACACTGGCAAGTGATTCAATGGAGTGAATTTTCAAGGGATTCGTAAGAATGGGATGTCGTTCCGAAAGCATTAGAACACAAACACGATTAGAATGTACAAGAACAAGTGTATCATTATTAGTCTCGCTGTGAACATTCGTACGATAATATTTCGTGTAATAGCGTTCGATAACACTCGGATATTTTATACGTTTAGCTAAAGACATTGCTGTGAATGATGTAACTATTACATTCCGACTTATTTTGAGTATTATACTTTCTTTCATTGGTGGAAACACAGTAACCAATTAGATAAAAGAAAGAAGAAAGAGAAGATATTTTTCTATATGCGATAAGTACGGAAGCAAAGGGTAGTCTTGAAACTAAGTGTATAATCATTTGCAATGTGATATACAAATGAAAATCCTACACCGTTCATGTTTTCTTTACTTGTGTCTTGTGCCCATAGCAATCCACGCAATGCGTTTAGTAGCAGTAGGTCATCGACAATCCGTGAATGCATCTGTATCTTATACAAGTTGGTTCGATCAGTTTAATCGCACGGATCTGTATCGAATACGATCAAATCGAACAATGATTGTTGTCTTCGGTGAATTGACTGGACTCACATCAGCCTTTGTCGGCACACGCGGACAGAGTGCTCGTTCGCAATCGGGAACAACTCAAAATGCATTATTGCTACTAATGTCATCCTATGAAAAACAAATGAATTTCTACTCAAAAATATATCCGAACATTCCTATTATGAATGCTCTCGAACTAGCTTTGAGTGATGTCATGTGGAGAGCATTCAATTACACGTTTTCAACATTAGCTCGATCGCTAAATGCGACTGTTGTAGCCGGTACACTAGGACCGAGAATTATTCGTTCGACCGATCGAGAAGATATTGACTTTTTTGGTGATCCTGATCTCTATCCAAATCAAACAGAAGTGTATCTACCATTGACAAAAGAAGTCTACAATACAGTTCATATTTACGCACCGAATGGTAGTTTGATTGCAAGCCGTGACAAAACGAATTTGACTCCCGAGGAAGTTCAGTTGTTGCAATTGACGCCAGGAAAACTCGAAGATAATCGAATAATTAAACCTGATAATTTATGTATAGCAATCTGCTTGGACACATTTCATTCCGATGTGTTATCGTATCTTGACTCCCAAAATTGTACGATACTCATTCAACCGTCGTTCAATACAGAAATGTGGGCTACAAATGTGTCTTCTATTTGGCAACCGCTTGATTGGACACACGGACCTATGGGTCTTTTTGAAAGAACACAAAATATTCAATTTTCTGTCAACTCGATGGTCACTGGTAATTTATTTGCTGATATGATCGTGGACGGACAATCCAGTATCAATCAACGTGCGTCTAAGATGCTACAAACTGATTTGTATGTTGGTGTTGACTGGAATGATGTACAAAGTATCGGAAAGTTTCAAACATTGACACTATCGAAATGGGCACGAGATGATCCAAGAGAAAGAAACTTAACCAAATTAGAACGACGAGAGATACTGCATCAGTATGCTTTAGAATTAGCTCCAAACTCGACATCTGAAAATAAAAATAGGTATGCAGATACAGTGATTTGGGCTGATGTTACAAGTAAACCAGTGTAACATTCGATCGTGTCATGTAACACAATTGCAGAAAGGAACTGAATGATTTCCCTCAACTCGTTGACCTCTCGTACTGATGTCGAGTGTAACCGTAAACATTTTCTTTTTCTGTTCTACAGCAAGGGTAACATCAAGATATTTTTCCCGTTCTTCACAGTATATCGATCAGAGCAGCAAAAATAAACAACATCGAAGTTTGTGTGTTGTGCAATTCTTCTCGTCCTATTCCACTTGTTACTTTTTGTTTCATACTTTAATCATATGACATTGAAACCAAATGCTTCGCAATCATATAATCAACCAGTGCATGTTGATATTGAATTAGATGCAGCTGATCTGAGAACTTCAGGTCCTCGTCTTGCTTGTTTGGTTAAAAGTGACTGGATCAATAAGAAACTAAGCTTCAAAGAACTAACAGATGGTCTTTCTAATCAAATGCTCGCAATGTTTCCTCCATCGCACGATGAACAAGCTCTCATCATTCGAACTTATGGGAAAAATTCGGATTTAATCGTCGATCGGCAAGCCGAAATTCGAAATATGGTGAAACTTTCTCAGTACGATATGGCCAACGAAGTTCTGGCAACATTTAACAATGGATTCTTATACACACTGGTACCAGGTGATCAAATCGATGTCGATGATAGGAAAATTGAGTAAGTAGCAACATCTTCACATTCTCAAGCGATGTTGACGGTGTAACTATTCTTATTTCAGTTCACCATTGGCAGCTAAACTGGCTGCATTTCATTCTGTTCCGTCTGATGGCAGCAATAATGAGAAAAAATCTCAATTGATAGAGAAACTCGACCATTATGTTCATTTACTGAATGGTACCAATTCTCAATTACGACACCGATTGGAAGCAATGAAATCGTCAGCGACTGGAATGCTTGACACAATTAAAATAACTGTCGGTCTTCAATCTAGTCCACCGTCACTGGATTCTATCGAATCGTTTTTCGAATATTCCTTTGCTCAATTGGATGATGATCTCCATCAAATCAAATCAACGTTGAAACAAAATTGGTCCGATATTCCTGTTGTTCTGTGCCATAATGATACCCTGAGTCGTAACTTTCTCTTCGACAAACAAACAAATACTATGTATATGATAGATTTTGAACATAGTTTTGATAATCTTTACTTATATGACATTGAGAATTATTTTGTGGAGTTCGCTGGTCTTAGTTCATCGCCTGATTGGTCAAAGAAATACCCAAGTCGAGAACGACGATTGAACTTCATCAGTGAATATGTTAAACATGCTGATTTCTTACATAAAAAACCTGGTGCAGATGAATTGGAAAAACTCTGTGATCGTTGTCATTGCCTTCTGCCACTTACGCATCTTTATTGGGCTTTGTGGGCTGTACTCGAAGCTATGCTCAATCCTGAAGCATTGAGTGAATTCGATTACGTGAATTATGCAAAGAACAGGTTCAATCAGTACAAATTACACAAGAACGAGTTTTTTGCTTCGTAATTGACTTGTTCTTACTGAATATACGTAACTCAGCAAATCCACCAATTAACTATTCATAAGGTTTTAAATTATCTCTAGTGAATTGTGTTCTAAAAATAAAGCATGACGCATAAGTCGCATATCTACTGATCGATCACATGGACTGACTTCCATTTGTTCTCTAGTCGGAGATTCATGCTTCACTGTAAAAATTCCATCTAAAAAAAAAACTTTTCCAATAGAATCATTGGGTGGTAAACAGATGAGTGAGCACTGATCAAATAGTGAGATTCTTCACTTATTTCAATTCTTTCAACTACTCCGCAGCTTCTATTCTAGCAGAGACACACATACGAAGTGTCGTTTTATCTATCGCACAATATGAAGTCAATAATCGAGATTTGTCCAAACTCTGTTCACAAATAGTCAAGAAAATGAAAAGTCATTAATAACAATTTTGTTGGTTATACATTTATCTTGAAACGAGTCATGTGAGTATTTATCGTAAACCCAAAACCCGGACGGTTGACTGGTGTACTCATAGTAATCCGAAGAGTATCAACAGCAATCCGACCTGTCAGAGTTCCGTAATTAGTAAAGAATGGAACATAATTCTGGCTACGATCATTCCATCTTGGAAAGGACAAGCAAAAATATGTTCTCGAGTAATCGAGTGTATGCGCGCACACTGCCATCTTTGCGAAAGTCACTGATTCGTCTGTTGACCTTTCGTCATGTAAATCGTCATGAATGAATGAAAGAATGAATGGCAAATCTCTAGGAGAAGATGAAAACGTCAATTGAACAGTTACCATTGGAATTGTGGATAGAAATTCTTTCGTATTTAGAAGCACATGAAATTTTTCATGCTTTTAGTCGATTGAATCATTATTTTGATGACATATTAACTTCGAATTATCTTTTATTCAATGTTCGACTGAGCAAAACCGATCGAAATCCTTTAGAATATTCTGTTCAACCATATTGGCCCCAATCCATTCTCAATCGTATAATTAGTCTTCGATCTGTCAATTCAACTCAACTGTCCCACGTATCTGAATTTCTTCGATGGCATTTCATCCAGTTAATTCAATTAAAATCTTTAACAGTGAAGCTATGTGGACGCGAAGTTTCTGTTCTATCTTCTGTTCTACCACAACTTCATTCACTTGACTATCTTGCGATAAAATGTACTCCAAATCAACAACTACTTAACGCCATTCTTGCTGTCCCTAGTTTAAACACTGGCCGATTCCGGTTCTCTCGACCGATTACATCAATCAACATCCATTCGGATAATGTCAGTCAAATGAAAGTACTCGATATTCAACTTGAAGATACTTCCTACGGTTTTGTGATGACTTTGTTGTTGAGCCATATGCCAAACTTACGATGGTTGCAAATGAATAATTATGATACATATATTAAAAATCAAGAATGGTTGTTCTTCGATTCGTTATTCACTCTTCCACAATTGCACACACTTCACTTGAAATGTCTTTCGAATTATTCATCACCAGTTGTTTTTCAAAACTTTCATCGAAATTTACCAGCTGTGAAGCATGCTAATTTCGGTTTAAATTTCGATTTTATTCACGAAGATCTGATCGATCATGCCATTCACCATTGGTGGCCTATTTTAGAGACACTTGAACAGGTTAATTTAACAATCACATGTCGAAATCGTCACCTGATCGTTTCCGATCAGATGTCTTCGATGCTCAATGAATTACAAAATGAAGTTGTCAAAACTAAGTGGAAGGAACAGACTTCTTTAAGATATCGAATTGTGGAGATCTCTATTTGTAAATCTATTACGTCAAAATAAAAACTATACCGAGTAAAATGAATCTCTAGTGGAATACAGTTTTAATAATAGCTTGCTGAAATACCTCTTTGCAAAACCTATGCGATAGTCTATATTTCGGAATGGTGCAGGTCTAATGTCACCAGTTGTGCTTTATTCGTTTTGATTACTATAGTTTTTATTTCGTGCATTTCGATGAATGTTTTTACGACGTGGTGACATCATTCCAAGACTCATTTCTACTTTAAGTGTTTGTGTTTGCTAGTGTTTCCTCTGGCACAGGGATTGTTGTGGAAGATGATGTAACGACTTCGTCAGGTTTTACGTTTCGAACACCATAGACAATATGTGCCGCTGGAACATATTTTTTCGCTCGTTCAATATGTTCACTTGAATCGTCGAAGAAGATCGCCGGATCGATGGCAATTAGAAACGGCGTTTTATTGAGTCCACCTAGGAAATGTGTTTCATCAATTTGAAGACCCCATCGCTCTAAGGTTCTCAGTACTCGTTCATTACCAACACCATTACGAGCAGTCACAAGAAAAGTACGTACACGCCATTGTTCTTCGGCAGCTAGTGCATTACGTAGTTTTTGTAATTTAATCGCGAATGAATGCATTGGACCTTCGGATAAGGCAATATCCAACTTTTCATGTTCGTACTTTCGGAACGCATCCAAACCAGATGTCTGAAAGACACGTTCTGCTTCGTCGGAGAAGAGTACACCATCGCCATCAAACGCAATACGCACTTGATCTTTTGGCCACACTGAAGCGATGGCAGCCAAAAGACTACTGTCGATAATAGGCCTAGAAACTTGTTTATATTTGCTTAGTGTATTCTCAAGCAAAAGAAACTTACGATGGCGGTTCATTTAGAGACCCATGCGTTGCTTCAGCGGCGATGTCACACACTAAGCCAGCTGCTATTTTCTTCGATGTAATTGTAGCATTTGCTGAAAGCACGATACGAACCTGTGCTTCTTCGGTGGTGAGAAAAAGATCACATTCCCACGCTTGTAAATACTTCGTTACGTCGGTACCATTTGTGAATGACATACGACTGATATCGAGATTGTAATGATTGATCGAATTTCGCACTCGTTTTCCTGCTTCACTATCGTTGCGTGATACGAGAATGACATCGACGAAGTTTTTACCAGCACTATGATTTAAACTTAATAAGGATTGAACCAATCGAAATCCAACGCCAGGTTTTAAAGGAACAGTCACATGGCTATGCTGATATTTCTTGTACGATTCTACACCTTCCTTCAACCATATCTGATGCGATTCACTACAATCGAAGAGTGCAGTAGATGCAATGCAAACAACTAGCTTGACAGAATCGGCCATAGAGGTAAAATGATTACGTCAATGGGTCACCGAACAAACTATACATGTGACATGTCGATGCAATAAATTTCTCACATGTATACTTACGTTATATAATTCGATTGCTATGGTGGTATTTATTAATATTCACTGGCGTCTTTTCAAGTTGAAGAAATCGTGTACTATTTGATTTTGCCTTTTACATAAAGACACTTTTGAGAGCATATTGTTGTTTTCCTCTATTCATTGAAGCACGTTTCTTTTCTTTAAAAAGCCATTCTACCAACAATTGTGCAATTACGCGAGTCAAGCGACAGAGAAGAGGAAAAATATTAAATTGGGTCAAACTAGGGACTATGAGAAAAGTGACATATTTCTCTATTTGTTCTTTCATTTATTGAAAGAAAAAAATTAACGAACTACAGAGACATGATTTCTTGCTTATGCGTCTTTAAAAGTATTCTCATACGATAATGAGTCAGGTTTTCTGATTGTCCCAAAAAAATTGAATCAACGCCAGGGCAATATCAATCAAAGCAGCCAATGCTGTTATCGTACCAATCATAAAATTGTATCCAAAGGATTTCGATAAATGTCTTTTTGCAATACCAAATACCAATATTTAAACCATCACTATTATGGCAATAAAAATAAAAATATACACGGATACGTAGGTTTTACGGCGAATTATTCTAGACAAGACTGTTTGAACAAAATAGCCTGTCGTACAAACGCTCATCATCGCTGTTCCAGCACGATGAATACCGTCAATGCCATTTTCTTTTTGAATATGGATTGAAATGATCAGAAAGGTGAGACCAAGGATACTCATACCAATGGCCAGATCCAAATATACAAGAGACCATTTATTTGATCGAGAAAGCGTCTCAGGAGGTGTGCTTGTAGGAATAGGATCATATTTTGTTGCCATATCCAACAGAATGCTAATAGTAACAAATGTACAGTCGGCTTTCAAGACCCATTATTTATAAGTTGTGCCATGCATAGACAAGGGAAAAACCCAACCCGACATGCTATAACTTTCTTATTGTAATTGGCGAGAAAGAGATGCATGAAATGTTAAACAGTTGTAGAACAAGAATAAAATCAAGTTATTTGTTTTTTTTTCATGATTATAAAGACATTATCGGATGAGGAGAATGGGAACGTTCGCAAAACAATTTGAAAGGAAAGAATTTAGGTTTGATTGTAGATAAAGACCAGTGTTAAATACGGATCTTTGTTATGTTCTATGCGCATCAGAATAATAATTATGCGAAATTCAAAAATAGTTTATTTCTTTTCGAATAAAGAACATAATGATAACAACGTACATTTTGTTTTAAGACTACTGATCAAATCACTTTCGGAACAGTCGAAATAGAGGATGTATCGGTGTAGCTTTCTTTTTATTAGCTGGTGGTTTCTTCACTTTCTCGTCTTCTTCTTGATCAGACATGGTCAGAACTTCTCGGAGTAACTGTTCTTGTTGTTCACTTGTCGAGAATTGCAGCTGTGTCTAATAGGATATAAAATCGAAGATTATTCTAGTTAATAGTCGGTGAGGATGAATACCTGATCGGAAACTAAGTCAGCATCGGAAAGTTTTTCGTATGAATAGCCTCGCTCTTTCAGAAAGCGTTGTCGACCTGACGAATAACTCATTTCATCCGTTTGTTCTGACATAAGCGAATAGAAAAATGCATTATTCCCGCTGGCACCCGCATCTAAAATGAGCTCGAGCATTTATCATTGCTGTCGTACGACAAACATGAACGAACTTCGCTTTGATCGAAGAATACGACCCAACCGTTGTGCTTCTTGTCGTCGTGAAGAGCCATGGCTGGACAATTGAATGACTACATTTGCTTCAGGTAAATCAAATGCTGCATCACCGACCTGATCAATTTTAGTTTAGAGGATAACTATCACGTGTTTCTGATTTACAGTTGTACTTACTCGGGAAATGAAAATGGTGTTAATCTTTGGATTGCGTTGAAAATTTTGCAAAAGAACCATGCGTTCACTGTGTGAGACTTTTCCATGAATAAACGGTCTGAGGAAAATCAATGATGGAGAAGGTCAAGATTCATTAGATAATACATACTTGACAAGTTTCAATGCATAAACTCGTACTGCAGAGACATCATCACAGAAAACAATGATTTTATCACTTCGTTGTTCGTGATATTCGATCAGGGCTTGGCAAGCGCGGAATTTATTTGGATTAAACACACTCAATCTGCGTTTCAATGAGTCATCGGAAGTAAAACGATATTCACGCAGGAATTCAGAAGTCATTGCACATTGCACCTTAACGCAAAAATAATTAGCGAGTGACAGTTAACAGTTAGAAACTACAAGAAATTGCAATACTGACTTCAGCACAACGAACTGTAGCGATGAATCCTGCATTTTGCAGTGCCATCCAATTGGCTTCGTATAAAGATGGTCCAACCAGAAAATTTAGATCGATAATCCTATCATCTTCTCGGACAGGTGTAGCAGTCAGACCCAATTTGATATGCGCACGCACTGTATTCAATATTCGGCGAAAACTGTCAGCAGGACACATATGCACTTCGTCAAGAAGAATAAGACCTGTGGATCAAACTCGAATGAGAGAAATCTATGAGAATAGTCCATAAAACATACCCCAGTCATGATTTTTCAATGATTTCAAAACACGACTCGTGTCGGCTGTATGACCAGTGTTGCTGGCGACCATCTGATATGTACTTATACAAATACCGGAATCTATTCACATTGAAATATGCATGAAAAATGTACATCATTCGTGACTTCGAGCTATACTATTAAAATTATTCTTATTCTTAGATGTCAGCAATCGTATTATGCCGTCATTTGCAGTTGACCACATTTTAAATTGTTCTCTCCATTGTTCGACAGAAACATTGGAATTACAAAGTACAAGACATCGTTTGTTAATCGCACAAGCGGCAGCTACGCCAACCAATGACTTGCCCGCACCTAGAATATAATCCTCATGCTTAATTGTAACTGAGCACGATCGAAAGCACTCACCACAAGGAAGGACAATCACCCCAGATCGAGCTCGTCCTATAACAAGGAGTTCCATGATAATTATTGGTTGAATAAAGAAATACTTTTACCATTGTTGAATACTTTTCGTAGACTTTCTTCTTGATAAGGTCGAAGAGTAGCTTTTGAAGACAATTGAATATTGAGATTTGGTATTAGTGTATCTTCAGCAAAAGCATAATCTTCGACCAGTGGATATTTTAATTGTTGACATCTACCGACATCGACAAAAATGAAAATGTACATAAATCGAAAACAACGAGGAACAAACCGTTTTCGTAGCATAACTACTTTTGCTTGATTGACTTCAAATGATGTAGATTGGACATTTTCCAATCGATTTTCAAAGTCTTCCAAGCTTGTATCGACTGTTTCATCAATAGGTGCCAATCGACACTCTTGGATTTGAGGATCTTGCAGCAATGTTGTTAAAACATGCTAAGCCAATGAACATTAGAGATGATCAGTCAACACTCCAAGATGAACTTACTGAGGAGATACATTCAACAAAGTAACGATTCTGTTTCAATACTAATCGAACTTTGCCGTATTCAGCTGTACATGACTGTCAAAGTAAGAAATCGAATTTTTCCTCGTCATAAACACGGATAATATGCTTATCATACTTTAATAAGATCAATTATGCAGATTGGGACATTCATCTTGCTTAGATCGCGCAAATCTTCAAGAATGCCTTCAGTATTCAAACCAAAATACATCGCAGTATGAAGAGAATTTGCCGTTATCTTGTAAATGTTACTGCGTTCAAGATCATGGATAGGCTAGAAGAAAATCTTTCGTCTTATCCGTACATACAGAGGATGATAATGACGCAGGATTTATACCTCAGCAATAGCAAATAATAAATCTTGTGCACGCTGATGATCTGATGTGAATGATTCGAGAATGATATGACCATCTGAAGATATGATGTCTTGATTTCGTATATAAAAACGTCTCGGATACATACCTGATGTGTACGATAATGGACGCTCCTCGTGTGTGTCTTTCAGCTCTGTTGCTAAACAACGATCTTCGAATGATGTATACGCATCTCCTGAAAAAAATCAACAATGATTTCAATTCTGATACACTCCAGCCAGTTTCTATCGAGAAACAAGTCATTTTATTATCACCTCGAGCACTCTCATCGTCCGAACTTTGACTTGTACGCTTAATCTTTTTTGAGCGTTGTTCGTTCCATTCTGAAAAGCAAAATTCAGTTCGTGTGAACTTTGATCTCGAATCAAAATCCCAAGCACCTTCTGACACACTCTGTTTGTTCATGGTTGTAAAATTCAAACAAAATTTAAAAAAGTACGTTATTGGACAACGGAAACTCAATCGTATGTCGACAAAAAAGAAATACCATCATTCGTGTAGACGCTCGCTGGTATTTATACTATCACGTGTAGCAAGAAGAAGAGAACAAGCATCGTGTAGAAATATACCTGTGTAATTTCGCAATAAACATTCACTATGAGTCAGTGCATATGACTATTTTGGGAAGAAACCCAAATACTAAAAATGAATTTTTCTATATTGCCATTAAAAAATTCCTCTCATTGAATTTGAATCTTCAATCTCTTTGGATGATTTTTATCAATACTCTTTTTAGTTTGTTTCGATAGAAAAATAAACATCTCGACAGGCGCCACGTTGTCCAAGATTAATGTTAATTCCAATAGCATGAGTACCAGACTGAATAAGCCGCTTCACATCTACATACTCATAACGATCTGAACCGTTCGTCGCCTGATGTCCGCTCCCTTGTTTAGTGAAATTACATGATTCGCTAACCGTATTTTGTAGGAAAATATCTTTACGAGTACAAGAGTACTGATCTAAAGAGACATTATCTTCATCGTATTCCGTAAAGTTGAGACGTAAGTCATTTAGCTCATAGAACCAACCACTGAAACGAAATTGGAAAGCCAACTTCCGTCGGATAGACGATGCCCAGTCGCGCATGTTTCTGATGTTCACATTCTGTTGAATATTATTTCCATTTAGTAAATTTTCACAAATAGAATCCTTGAAGAGATTGAAATTTCGACCCTTGACACCATTTGGAAGAGTGGCGTCCGAAATAGATCCTACACTTTTCAACTATCATTAACAAATAAAGAAAACAATATCAATCAGTTAAATAGATCTTACGAAATGATTACCTGCGATGGACTAATCTTCGTATTTCTCAAAACTGCTTTGGTGAAATCAGCTTTGAAAACATGCGAGCCAGTAAAATCTGCGTCGGTCAAATCTGCAGCAAGAAATACCGCATAATTAAAGGAACTGTTGCATAGCGCTCCACGCATCCGGCTATACGTAAAATCACCATGAGTAAACGATCCCGAAATGAATGAAGCATTGTTCAGATAGGTTGATACAAACGAGATATATCTCATGCTGTTACTTTCTTCGGATGAACCAAATTGAACACGTGTCAGATTGGCATATCGGAGACTGAGAAAGACTGGTTTTTCAGTGGCAATCAATTGGGAATCGTTAAGAAATCGAATGAGATCCGATTTTCGCTTTGGATCTAATTGACGGAGTACAAATAATGTTTTCGGATAGACAATGGATTGTAGAATTTGCTTATCCAGGGAAAGATTATTGGCCAGTAACAAATCAGATATATTGTCCATGTAAGTGATAAGTAGATCATTGAGATGTTCTTCGGTAGCTAGATCTAAATTCTGTTGATGTTGTCGAGTTGCGATGTGTAAGTCGACTTCACGATTTGCTTTCGCAATTGATTCTTGTTGAAAGGCAAGAACTATGGTAAACACAGCGATTAGGATCGGAATCAGTATTGCTGAGATGAAATGAGATATCATTTTCAATTGACGCTTTGAACAGTCTGACGGATATTTCATCTTGTCTTTCTTTTTCGTATGCTTCTCACACATTATAAATCGTGCATAAACTTATGGTTCTTTCAATTTCACTCTAGTTTATCAGCGTACTGTGTTTATCCTATGATAAATATTGATGAAAACTCATGTTACAATCGATGTTGGCGTTTGTAGATTTGTTCTCGATGCTTTCATCTCCTAGGAATATTGTGTTTTTATAAATCGATACTGCACTTAACATGTAAAGATTCTCTTGAGATTTATGTGTCGTAACAAAATCGATACTGACAAATATTTCGTCATAGATTGACAGTTTACATATTAGTCATATGTCGCACTGTTTCAAATTTTTCAAGGGCAAATTTAATCACGTTGTCTTTGGAGAAAAGGAGTTCGATTAGTATAATTCGACGCTATTTAGATAAGAACTGTTCATTTCACCACCGATCACTAGAACCTTTCCACCGGATACCACTGATGCTGTGTGAAATCTACGGCAAATGTTCATATCATCTATCGTTGTCCAGTTTCCAGTGTTTGGGTCGTACAATTCAGCACTATTTAAGTAATCACCATTAAATCCACCAGTAACTAATACCTTCCCACTAGGTAGTACAGATGCCGTATGTTGAGCACGAGTAAAACTCATGTTTCCTGTAATTGTCCAATTTCCTAGTAGTGGGTCATATAGTTCAGCAGTATTTAGATAAGTACCACTGTATCCACCACTTACTAACACTTTTCCATTGCTCAACACTGATGCTCTATGATACTGACGTGCATACTTCATTTTACCGGTCATCGCCCAATTTCCAAATGAGAGATCATATAATTCAGCGGTGTTTAAATAACCACCATTATATCCACCTACAACTAATATTTTATTATTTGACAGTAAAGATGCTGTATGGTCGACGCGTATGGTATTCATAGAATTTGCTGGTATCCAAGTATTCGTTAATGGATCGTATAATTCTGCCTTGTTGAGAAAACCACTACCACTGTCTCCACCGCAAACGAAAACACGTCCACTAGATAATACGGAGGCTGTATGAGCACCTCGTTGAGTATTCATATTTCCGGCATTTGTCCAAGTTTGAGTCGACGTATTGAACAATACCGCACTTGTTAAGAAGTTAACACCATTGTTTCCACCACTGACCAAAATAAGCCCATTGGTTAAAATAGATGCAGCATGAAGTTTACGTGTAATGTTCATCGATGCCACAGTTGTCCAAGTACCTGCCGCTGGATTGTATATTTCTGGTTGTTTTATAGATATATTACCATATCCACCAACGACGAGCACATTTCCATTGCTCAAAACCGACGCTGTATGACTTGCTCGGCTGGTATTCATACTCGTAACAATCATCCATCCTGAAAGATCGAAAAAAGACAACTGAAGAGATCCATATGTCATCGAGACTCACCTGATGGTACACTTTCATTGGTATTTATGATCATTGTCACGATATCATGGTTCAACGAGAAATTCTTTTGATTTACAATATTGGTGAATAAATCGCAACGGGTAATTGACTGATGAAAACCTATCGCTTGACACTGATTCACATTCACACAAGCTAACTGACATCGACGACTGTTTATTACAGCAAAACTCGAGAATGGTATACATGTCGTGTTAGCACATGAAAATTGCTGCCCATTCATCACAGTCAGTACAAATGATCTCATATCAGTTGCAATAGATCGTTGAAGAAATACAATTATAAGCAACAGAAGTCGTTTCATCTGTGGAACTGCTAATAAATACCAAATGGCCTAAACGTTTGCACTGATTTTCAAATCTTCTTTTTACTCCTCCATATATCATTTGTCATTTTTTATTGTACTTTGTCAAAAACTCAATTAATTTTGATGATAATCATCTGTCGCTTTCTCCTATAGAACATCGGAAATTAAAAACTTCACAGGTAACTATTGCTCCTTATTTGATGTCTTCTTCGGAAAGTGTATTCTTCGATTGCAAAACTAAAATTGAAATCAATGATGAACTTCTTGAAAAGAACATTCATACATCATTTATTAGGTAGTAAACAACGGAGTAGAAACTATTGTAATAAGAAAGAATCCGAAGCATTGTTTATATAATTCGATGATCGATAATGAATGCATCTAGACATAGTATCACATAATATTTACTGTCAGCCGTACAACAAACAATAAAAGAAAGAATGTGACCTTTTGGAAGAAGAAGTCTGTGTGTTTATCAAACAAAGTAGATCAACATCAACAAATCGATTCACTTCTTTGAGTAAGGATTATGCGTTAAGTTCATTTGTTCTTTTCTTTTCTGTCATTTGACATTCTTTTCATTTGATAACAAAACACCTCAACGATGAAAATATGCAACTACTGATTCGTTTTAAACGACCTTGTGACTGTAAGCATCATCGATATTTTCTCACGTTCAGTTAATATTTGTAAGATGAGGAAGAAAAAACGATCGTCTTAAATAGAGTTCGAGAAGGAATATGCGCTCATTTGAGAACTTGTCTTCATATACCCGAAATGATCTTCAAAAACTTTCTTCTCCTTTCTGGTAAGATGCCTCATATTAGTATCTAGTCGTGCTTGTAGATCATAGAATTTAGGTCGATGGCTGATTCTCGTCTTCTAGTTTTTAGTTCTGGCTATGCCATTCTTGTCATAGTTTGCTTATCGATGAAAGACACAGCGCTAGCTGAATACGATTGCTCTGCGAAAGATGATGGCTGGTATTACGATCCAGAATTTTGTCATATCTATTGGCGTTGTACACATGGCTCCGCAGAGGAATTTGAATGTGCGAGTGGAACTGCTTGGGATCATACGGCAAACCGTTGTAATTGGCTTGATAGTGTAGATTGTTCTCGTGCTGAGAAGACGACACCAAAAATTAGCTCTGAAGAAGAAGAAGAAGAAACCACGAATGAGGAAAACGAAGAAGAAGACGAAGCACCAAGTGAACAAGTGATCAAATCGAAAAAGAAAAAGAAAAAAACTACCTCTAATAAACGAATGCTGGACGATGAAGACGACGAAACTGATCGTGAGATATTCACACATTGATTGCATGAATATTGTTTTACGCTTGCTTTTCTCTGTAATCGACTTCTTCTTGGAAATTTCTGATTGATTCATCCGACTTCTCTTCCAGTCTCTTGTTTGATTGTCTGTCAAGCAAATGCATCTGCTGAAAAGTTTTGTGCTGGACGGGACGGATTCTTTGCGTAAGAAAAGTCTTCTTCTCAAAGTAATTTGCATGAATAATCTTTTGTCTATCAGTGATCCTGACTACTGCACGAGATATTACCGATGTTCGCATGGTGTTGATCAAGGTTTTGAGTGTCCAAAAGGTACTGCATGGGAAGACGAGTCGAAATCATGTGCATGGATTGAACATGTTAATTGCGAACAGAAAAAACTCGACTATTCAACCAGTACTACCACTGAAGGCATGTCACTCGATTCTACTAATGGTCTCGTTTCTTCATTTTGAGCGCTTCGCTATGTTTGTTCTTTCATTTAGATACAACAACATCACGAAAAAAATCGTCCACAGAATCGTCGAGCTCAGAATCGAACAAAGCATCTACTCTACCACCGACGCATGGAAAATACAATAGCATTCTTGAGGGTTTTGAGTGTCAACTAACAGGTTTCTATGCTGTTCCTGATCCAACGCAATGCAATTCCTACTACCAGTGTGACCGAGGCGTTCAAACGCGACTGAGTTGCCCGGAAAAACAATTGTACGACGAAGAGAAACGTCAATGTATGGATTTCGATCGTGTTAATTGTGGAACTCGAGCAGTTAATCTAGCAGATAAAAACCAATGTAAGTCACAACAATTGACCAAAGTTCTAGCTGTTCGTTATCGATAGGTGTCAATAAACGCGATGGCATACATCCTGATACCGAACGCGGCTGTCATTATTATTATCAATGTGCCTCACACAACAAATTGCGCGAAGCTAAATGTCCGGGTGATGAAAAATTCAGTAGTTATACAAGCCGATGCGGTCCGGCTAGCAGTGCTCCAGTTCCATGTGGTACTTATGTTCTCGGAAGTGCAACGATGCCATGTATGTTGATCAATTCTCATTCTCAATAAGATATATTCATTTGTTTTCTTCTCGTTCCGATAGATCATCGAAATCTTGGCTATTTCATATCATTCCTGCTCGCAACAATCTATTTCACTCTTATTGATCTCTAATAGATTAGATATGATTGTTTTTGTCATTGTTTTGTTTTTCTACTCTTATTGTATGTGCCTATTGTTGGTGTAGTTCATGTTTTATTGTTTAGTACAAAGAAAAGAAACTACTGAAATAAAGATTTCATAAAATCCAAGAGGTCACACGAGAACAAACGAGATGACCGATAAACAAAACAATTCTATTTTCTCTCGAAGATAATTTCCCACGCGATCATTCAATCGCTTGTTGAATATGTATATAAATCTATTCTCCATTCATCTAACCTTTTCAATTTGTTTCGCATACATTGATAATCATTTATACAGTCGCAATCGATTGCATCATCACCAATTAATCCGTTGTATTCGCTCGTTCGCTTCACGACGTACTTTATTGTCGTTCTCTTTTACGTCGGATAAAAGAATCCAAAGAAAATTAAACCTCATATAAACAATGTTGATCTAATACAGCGTTTGGTGTCTACACATACGTGTGTATACGTTCAATTAAATGATGTACAGCTCATTCTAACATAGACCCAAGTTGAGAGTAAAATCAACAAAAACCATAAACAATCCATTGGATAAATGAGTCATTAAGTATGGATACGATATGGATAGTTATCGCTGTTGGTATTTGATATTTGTGTTGATTAATTTGATTGAATCACATAGTTTCTTGCTTTCAAATGAATCAACGCTTGAAAAACAAACGTCGACGAAATCAGCCGATCATCGCGTCGAACATCAGTCGACTATTACAACGTCTCTGGCAACGTTTACGACAACAATTCGTTCGAGCAGCACCATTCAACCACTTATAACAAAACCTAACTCTTATCTTTATAATTCCGATGAAGAAGAAACTCTTCTCGATCGAACCAAACGAGACACGGCGCCTTTTGTTTGTAAAAGTAAGATGTTCGTCGTACGAATAGGATAAGAAGTTGTTTGCTTTTTCAGCCGATGGTTATTTTCCCGATCGACAGAATTGTCGAGTGTATCATATTTGCACATCAGGTGTCGATACGGCTGCCGTTTGTGCTGAGGGAACAGCATGGGATCCAGTGAAGAAGAACTGTGGCTGGGAAAATACAGTTGAGTGTAAGAAAGGTTTGAGAAAATGGGACAAAATTACCGACATACGCGGAGGTAAAAGCATTCACAAATTCTGATTCACTTTTATATTTGCACGACTTTTAGTGACGTTGTTTGCTACCGATGCGGCATTGGCATGGCGTGCGAAAAAATCTACAACGACACGCACGCCGATCAAAGTTGATTCGAATTTTACATGCGAATACGATGCAGAAGGATTTTTTCCTGGTATATTCTTTTTCTCAATTGTGAATCAAACCGAGCAGAATTTCCTTTCATAGATCCGAAATATTGTCACATCTATCATTTCTGTGGCATTGGTGCACATCAAGTTTTGCAATGTGCGGATAATCTTTGGTTTTCGACGAACACACAAGGATGTGAATGGCCAGAGAAATCAGATTGTATGTACTTTAATTGTTTTCATTGGTTTACAAGTGTCTTATTCTCGATAGGTAAAGCAGGAAATTTACGAACATCGTCGACACAAGTGACTAACATGATCGATGGTGATGGAAATATTGTGACGACGCCAAGAAATTTTCGGCTAAATGTTTATTTACCTATCGAATGTCCGCCTGCTGTACAAAAGTTTTTTCCTGATCCGTATGATTGTTCAGCATACCATTATTGTAACGGTAAGAAAATCAATTCATTCTATTTTATAAACGAGGATTGAACTCATAGGTGGTGTCGATAGGCCGTCGTTTTGTGATGCTGGCCTCTACTATGACAAAAGTAAGTATTCAGAATCTTTTCAAATCTGATTAAAAGTCATCCAATTTCTGTTAGAACATGGTTGCCAGTGGCCGAAAGACGTTCCTCATTGTGAGTAATTTAACTTTGATCTTCCAAAATTGATTTCAGAATATTAAAATAGGTCAACACAAATGTCCACCGAACGGTCAGCGACTACGTTTTGTCGCTACCCATAGTTGCTGTCATTACTATGAGTGTTTTAATGGTCATATGAAAGAACAAGTATGTCCATTACACAAACTTTATTCGGTCGAAACAAAAAGTTGTGAAAACTTCCAAGTCGTTAATTGTGGCTCCCGACAAAAATGCATTGATCCTTGTAAGACGATCATTCTTCATCTATCCTAATCTCATTCTTTTGCTTCAAAGGTGATTATGACAGTTCTCCACTGTGCGAATTCAAACCTGTATGTCGAGAGAAACCGAATGGCAACTATGTTGATCAATATCGACCTAACTGTCAATTTCATTACACATGTTTAGAGAGTCGCACATTTAATTATACAGCATGCGAACATGGTCATCGATTCTCTGTCCAACATCAACGATGTTTACCTTCCAAACAAGTCAAATGTTTAGCAAGACGAAATGATCAACTCCCGATGTTTTTTCTTCATCTTCTTTTTTTTATGCTTTACTTCCTAAAACCATCCTGAAGTCAATAAAGTCCTTGCACAAGGTTGTTTTTTTTATGACATTGCTTTCGAGAGAGCAATAAATTGCCGCTTCCATGCCTTTTTTCAAAGTACAAATCACCTTGAAAATTATCGTACAGCATCAGATCAACAAGAGAAAAAAAATTTTCTTTTTCGTTTTGTCCTTGTGTAGCATGCTATCGTAAGGTTTGACTTTTTTTTCTCTTATCAAAAACTCGACGCAGATCTGCAAAACGATACGACAACAAGCAGTTATCATGACAATTTGAGTAGAAAGTGTATTGTCGGTAAAAGGTATACACATGGCTGGTCACAACGCCCCGCTGCGAAGTGATCGAGGCTAGTTTCAGAATTATTGTAACTGTTTATTTTGAATATAGACAACTTACAAAAAAGTGCATTTATCGATGTTATTTCTGCTGTGACTATTTTCTTCCATTACCTCTAGTTAAAGAGTTACTTTAGATAAGAAACTAGTTTACTATTTTCGATGCTTTTAGGTAACAAAAGAAAAGAAAATAGAGAAAGCCACATATTTGTCGCATAATTATTAAATGCATACTTTCGCCGACTGGTTGCATCATTGAATCGAAATCTTATCGACGAACAAACAGAAAAATACAAAACACTGTTAAGCAATAAAAACAACACCGTAACCATTTCCAATGTTCATCATTTCACCTGCATTACAAACGCATTGAAACATGATACGCGAAATTACAGTCAACTGTTTCCTTCTACTAATCGCTACCTTCATCATTTGGATGTGTGTGATCTCCATCCGATATCGTAACAATCAATGTTCTACTCAGCGGCGCATTTATCAATCCAACCGAACAATGGGCAATCATTCCGTGGATCCAACATTGATCGATAAACGTTTGAAATTGAATCATTTTACCATTCTTGGTACACATAACAGTTATCATAAGCAGAATTCTCTCTATCGATATGAACATTCCGATCTTGCAGAACAATTTTTCTATGGTATTCGTCAGATAGAATTAGATCTTCATCTCATGCCGAACCATGATGTCGTCTATCATGTACAGTTATTCGATGATCGAACGAATTGCTACTGTTTAAGTGATTGTATCGAACGCATTTGGAATTGGACGATCATCAATGCCAATCATTATCCAATTTATTTATTTATCGAAATCAAACAGATGTTTTACGAAGATCTTTTCACTGGACTCGAAGGCGGTGTTAAATGCAAACATTTCGAAGCACTTAAGCAACAACTTTTAGACGTTTTCACAAATACTTCTTTGATTCTACCACCGCAAGTACAAGGAAATCAAAGTTCACTTCGATTGGCACTTCGCAAACAAAGATATTACGAGCAGAAAAATGATTTTATTTATGCAGGCTACGGTTGGCCACCGTTGTATCTTTCGCTTGGAAAGATTATTCCAGCCTTCCTCGACGATGTGCATAATATCGTTCCAGATATGATTGATTCATGTGAACCTTTATCAGACTTCTTCTTCATCGTTCAACGAAACACAGCCAAAGATTATGCGTCTTTTATGACCACGAACAGTCCTATCAACGATCAATACCTAATGCAAAAGAGTATCAATCGCGGATATATACTACGTGTTTTACTTGGATATGGTGGAAGTCGACTGAATGAAAATTATAATAAAGCAAAGGCGTACGGTGCTCATATATTCAGTACAGATTCTGAAAATTGCTACGATACAGATATTTGTCAAAGTGTGATGAATGATTTCAAGAGCGGCTCTTCGATTTTATGTAATCCAGTTCTGTCTCCAGATTTTTGCAATGTGACATCATTCATTCTGTAAAAATGAATTGAATGTTATTTTTTTTAATAAAACAATACTTAAAGCGAAACAACGAATTCACATTCTGTTCTCTGATGTTTGTTTAGTTATACTTTATCGAGAAGCGTGCGTTTCAGATTAATGGAACAACCCGCAGCTTTTGACGCCATAATTCAGGTAAACAGATTAGACATAGAAATGGCATGAAAAGCTGAACGAAGTAAGGTGAATAGAAAAAATAGTAATTGATGATCACAGTAAGGAAAGTCGGAATGAAATACAAACGAATCACGATAACCAATGCATACGATACCCAAAAGATCGAATATAGACTTGATATAAACATCAATTGTAACGTTAATTTACGAATTGTTTTCCAATTTAATGTTCGTGCCATTTTCTTTCTCTGTATTACCACTCGAATCAGGAGTATAATACTCGCAACTGGAATGATTGACGATGGAACACATATATGAGCGATCCAATCGAATGCTGCTAACCACGGAAGATTGTTGTAACAAATAGAACCACATAAAATTATGGTGTAGTCAAATGTATTCTCACAGGAGTAAACAAAAATACATATGAAATAGAAGAGGGGAATGTAGAAAAGAGAGAATATGATCGGTAAATAGTGTCGTTGGAATTTTTGTTGAGATGACTGAAGAAGATGAGAATGAAAGATTAGAATATGTCGTTCAATTGACGTCCATGCCATGAGAAAGAGATTCATGGAATGAAGTGAGCAATTGTACCATATCCAAACGAGACAAAACCAACTGGATGCCGGTCGCACTCGACCGGAATAGAGAAATTGCAGTGTGAGAGGTAATTCAGTGATCAATTCCAGAAAAGCAATGGTTAGTAAGGTGAGTAACGAATGATAATGTAAACGTGAATGAATTTTCGTTGAATAGTAGAATCGATAAAGAATATAGACAGCTACACATACCGATGGCAATTGAATCGAAGTGAAAATATAAAATTTTAGATGACGGCTCCATTGAGGTTCTTCAGAAATGATCGTGCCATTCATTTCGACCTTAAAGAAGCAGAGTTACACTGATTGGCAGTTGTTTTTATTCTTTAGATTCTCAAATAATCTACGTGATGTTCAGTGAGCCTATCCAAATAGACAAACGTTTGTACTTTTATTTGAAATTTGAAATTGGAGCTTTCTGACATGATTTACTTCGTGTTATTTTATCATGTTTATGTTGAATTAGCAATAGAAATTGATCTTGTTCGAAAGAAAAACAGCAGAAAAGATTAATATAATATTTGATTAATAATGACAATCACAGATACATAAAAATAAATGAATAGTCTTTAAAAAAAAAAGCTTAAAATCCAGTTGTACTACTACTTCCACGGTCACCTCGGCTCTTCATTAGTTTCAGAAGTTCAACTAAAACAAGAAGAAAACGTGCGAACGTACTCTATTTAAAAAAGACTTCATTTACCAGGAATCGGAAAAACAATCGTCGAATTCTTCTCTGCTGAGATATGTGTCAATGTTTGAAGATAACGCAATTGTAAAGCAATTGGACTTTCATGAATGACATCAGCAGCTTCCTGAAAAACAAGTAATACAATCTCATGTACTCATAATAATGCAATATTACTTTTAATGCTCTCGATGCTTTTTGTTCACCTTCGGCAGCAATAATCTTTGCCCGGGCTTCTCGAGCAGCTAGAATGGAGAACAAAAGGCCGTGTATGAGTCGATAGCATGTCAAATGAGATTTTCACCTTCGGCTTCAGCAGCCATACTGCGTTGCATGCTGACAGGCAAACGAACATCTTTGCTAGAAAGGAAAAGACGATTGTTAATCAGTATGAAAAGAACAGAATGTAATAATTATTTACATTTCTACACGTTCGACTTTGACTCCCCAGGGATCAGTTCCTTCATCAAGATGAACTTGCATTGAATGAGAAATATTTTCACGATCAGATAGAATTTCTTGTAAAGTTTTCGTTCCTCTGAAAAATTCAAAAAATCCTTTTTCGAAAGAATTGACATTTGAATTGAAATTTGCTTACAGGATATTACGAAGTGTTGTAGCAGCGAGTAATTGAGTTGAATAACGAGAATTTTCGACATTTGTCACACTTATAATCGGATTAAATATTCGAAAATAGACAACGGCGTCAACGGAAACTGTCTAGAGAGATGAGAAGACGAAGGACTTTCATCAGCATGCTTCTAAGTAATCGTACCACAGAATCTCTTGTTAAGATTTCTTGAGGTGGAACATCAAAAGTAACTACAAGTAAACAGGAGATGTTTTGTCAAGCATTGTCTCATGTATCAGCCATGAAAAAGCACTCACTCGTCCGTAAATCGACTTTAATTATCGAATCAACACATGGTAAAACAAAAAACAGACCCGGACCCTTTGCACCACCTAAATAACATCATAATTTGTCTTTCCTTCAATTGTCATTCAATTCCTACCAGATAGAATTCGACCGAGGCGCATAATAACAGCTCGTTCATACTCTTGAACAACCTGCACACAACATCGATCTATCCCAATCCTCTTCAAACATCCTCTCAGACTTACTTTGACAGTCACACAAAGCGAAAATGGGAATGTTAATGCGCAGAGAATATAAGATAAAACCACTAAGATCCATCCACATGTTCCCAAGCCTTCATCCGAATTGCGAATATCATCTAATATATAGACAAACAATTCTCAACCGATATGTTTTGTCACTAATCAAGAATTACATTGATTATTGCGCGGAACAGTCGATGTATTTACTAATCGATGCACAAAGAACAAATATGAAATCCACACAAATCGCCTTATCAATTCTGTCACTTACATTCTTGACCTGGAGCAGTTGTATAACGTTCTTGCTTCGATGCCATCGGAATACTTTGTTCAGCCGAGCTAATTCTATTCGAACGCTAAAAGTAATAATCCAACAGAAAATCCATTTACTCTTTTCATATGTCAGTGATAATAGTCTCTGATGAAGGTCTTCTTTGATAACTAACAAACGTATCTAATTCACACGTCATTTCTTTCCTCGACTATCTTATTCAACGAACGAAAAGAAAACATGCGCGTGTGTAGGCTGTAGTATCTCAAGATGACTTTCGTCAATGGACTGACGTGCGTATGGATAAAGCTTGTATATAGGCTCTGACATACGTCATCATATTGTCATTTTATAGCGAAGAAGACGGATTAAAAGAAAACGAGGCCAACGAAGAGAAAGATAAGCATCGATTACGGAGACATTTGTCAATACTTTCTCTCTCTCTCTTTCTCTTGCGTATTCTTCTCAATGCTCGCTGGCAAAAAAAATACCGATTGAAATAGAAAAAAAAACTTCGCAGACGACGCACAGACAATAATTGTCAGTAGATCTGATGAGAAGAAGAACGCAAAGCAAAGCAAAATGAATGTCTAATGATTTATCTGTATCTTCTTTTATTTTCTCTAAGAATCGAGCAAATGAAGTCAGACAGTTATTTATTCGATTACATCTTGCTAAGACTAGAACGCTTGAGAATTCATTACTAACCGCTTTCATGAAGGAATGGTTCCTTCGACTATTTTTGTACGATGAAAAACCAAATAAAGAACAAAACTCAGAGGTTACCCGCCAGTTTTATAGTCTAAAGTATTTTGAATTGTTGCTATGTGACCTGCACGTCATTCTCTATTGTTTATCAACTACGCACTGATAATAAAAAAAAAAGAATGAGAACAAAATGAGTCAATAAGATGTGTTTTTTTCTCTCTCTCGGTGCCGTTGCTAATCATAATAAACTAGAGATGGTATAAATTTCTTTTTGCAAAGTATTCTGTTTGAATAGATAAGAGAAATTGCTTGTCGAGTGATTATCTGGCAATGAATAAATAATCTTTGTAATCATCATTGACTTATGCAATGTACACATGTTTGCCTTGCCAAGTATCGGTTCCTGTCGAAGAAATCGATTGAGAATACTCAATGAAGAAACCCAAGAAGATTTTCAAAATGTCTTCATTAGCTTGTCTGATAGCAGAAATGACTCTTGTAATCGATATTTGGGATTAATTAGATTGGAAATCTTCATCCGAAGGGTGAAAATCAACAGACGAATCTTCTTTGATTGATAGCAAATCATGTTGTTCGCGATAAGAATGTTTTGTTAAGACATCCATATGCGATCATATATTGTCATATGTAGGTCAAGTGGAAATCACAGGAGACATTCGCTCGGCCGATCTATGTGGCGCTTTTTCTTTATGTATCGATAAATGACTCATCGATAACGAATCATCGTCTCGTTCGATCATTGTCATGATATTCTATCAATTTACGACGAAACTTCTTGATAATATTGATTTGATAGTTAATTATCATCTGAACGAGATTGAAATCTATGTTAAATGGTCGTCGACAGGAGATTTGGGTAACTGGACGATCTCCTATGTTGATGATGAATGTACATTACCATCGATCTCTCCTTTGTACTATCTTTGTTCATCGTCATCGAAAAATCATTCATTAAATCCGACTTTCTACTCGTACTGGTTTCAATTGGATTCCTCATTCTACCGTCGATTATTTGCTCATCTGACAACCGATGAAGATCAAATTTTTCTTCTACTTTCACTTCCCGATGGTCGAATTCTTCTCCTATCTGAAAATCATCCACCCAATGTGTGGTACACGTCTCCCAATACATCTCCAATATCCATTCTTGGTCTTTACTATGATTTAAATAGCAATCTTCTCGATGCCATTCTATCCTCATCAACAAATTCGAAGTTTCCCAAAATGATTGTCAATCACTTTATTCTGTGCGAATCCTTCGGATGTCTAGTTCTTGTCAATTCGACGAATCTCCGTCGAATATTGATCGACAATTCAATCAAATCAGCTTGTGTCTACTCGAACAATCTTATCTATATGACAGCGAATGAAATACGATCCATCTCGATTTCAAATCTATTGAAACCGAACAACGAAGATATTATCAGTCAAACGAAAAGCTTAAGATTTGGCCA